CTGCACTGAAGCTTGCAGAGAACTACACATTCAAGTTGACTGACTTCATCCATGATTGTTTTCGTTCCAGAGCTAACCGGGCACAAACCGCCAAGAACAGGAAAAGGTTAGCTTTGCCCGCCATGAGCCGCCGTTCTGATGATTCAAATTTGTCAATTGCTGAAAAGATGAACGTGCGGGCTCTCAAGTCGGCCGGTTTAAAGACCGTGCCCCAACAAAGTAACATGTCGGAGTGGCTTGCTTTTCGGAAGTGCCTTGATGTTCAGGGGGATAGGCACGCAGGGTGGGAGGACATCTTTTCTACGATCCTCGCTTCGTCAACCATCCTGGCACAGGGCAACAGAACAGAAGACCTTGAGTTGGCTGCAGGATTTATGCAGTGTTTCACTGCGCAGTCAATGTCTACGGACGCCCTGACGAACGTGCCGTGGGCAAAGGAGATCCGCCATCTGTCCGAGCTCGAACACGACTCACTGTGGGATCTTAGCTTGCCTACTGAGTACGTCCCTGGGACATCAAGGCCGGCGGTAGACGTCGTGCCCACCATCTACGTGGTGACTTCCGATTCAACCTTGGCTCTGATCACTGGAAAGGGTAAGACTTTGAAGAAGTACACCTTGAAGGAGGATCTGGGATTGCGAAAATCAGACATGGTTCTCGAAATCGGTCATGACATGCTCTGGGGTAAGGATTTACAACAGCTCTGCAAAGCAAATATTTCCATGATCAAGGAGCTGATGGCAAAATATTCTTCTCATGGATCAGCCATCAAGGTTATTTCGGTGATCTTTTGGTCTGGAAATGAAATTTGTGGGGAATATGGTGTTGAACCCCTTCCCATTTGGGGGCAGAGGGAGCCACAGGGTGACTGGAATGCCATCATGGACAGGGTCAAAGGCAACATTGTTTGGTGGAACAATCAGCTCAAGGAGTTGGGAGTGGATCAGGCCGCCCTAATCGGCGAGCCCGACCCGCTCACTTATGGGTTGAGTCTCATCTTCACGACGTTTATTGAACGTCTGAAGGAATGGTTCCACAAGGAGATTGCCAGTGACAACGATCGGATTCGGTGGATCAAGAATGACATGCTTCCACCGAGGCTTGAGCGCAGGGACTACTTTCACGCATTCGAGACCGAGCTCAACCGAAGCGAGATGATCGGATATGTCATGCTCTCCACATGCTGCACATGACGGACATTTTGATCCCTCAGTACAACCTGTCTTTGTACAAGCGCAGGCGCCCTGCAGGTGAAGCCACGATGCGTGATGTGCCGCCAAAGATGGAGCATCTTCCTGTCAGGTTTGTGCAGGTCCTGAACTCTTTGAGGGAGAAGGTGAACAAGCCTGCACCGAGTGTCTCGACCCCGGAAAGCTTTACAGCGGAGGAGTTGAGGGATCGCCTGACTGATGCTGGTGTCGCCGAAGATGATGATGAGGAAGGCGACCCATGGGATGCTCTGGATCCCGATGAGCACGAGGGCCCATCTGTTGGCAAAGCCAAGGCGAGCCACGCAGCTCCGCCTGACCCCAAGGCGAAGCCTCAGACGACGCAGGAGGATTCAACTCAGGCCACCTCAGCTGGTGAGCCCCTGCAAGAAAACGAGATCAAGGGTACCATCATTCCGAAACACGCACTTGGACACCTTGACAAATATCGTATCACTTTGGATGAAAATATAAATGCAGAAGTAGTTGAACATTGCGTCGTTGATGCCCATCCCTACGAATTGATCGTCAAAACCTGTTGGGAGATGGATGGGGCAAAGGAGCTGAGGTACCCAGATCGCATGGACCGACACAAGACCAAGGTCAATGCAGTGACGCGTGGACAGCCGGGTCAGGACACCTCTGGATTTGATGAAAACATGTGGCTTGACCTTGATGACTTCTTTCGAATGTTCAACCAAATGCTGCCAGCCAAGTTGCCCCGAATGACAGTTGAAGAGCTCATCTCATTGCTCTACTGGGACAACAAGTGCCGTTTTGAGTTCCAGTGCATTGCCGGGTACCAGAAGGCAACCCGTAAAGGGTTAGCCTACTGGCCCATCAGGATCCGTGCAGTGCAGGGGCATACGAAACGTGCCATGGATGCCGCTTCAGCTGAGGACACGTTCAATGCAGTGGAAATCTATGCTCTGTCTGGAGCAGCAGCGATCCAGAAAATGAACGCCAAAGGTAAAAAGATTACCACTCCTCAGATGTGCCCTGGCGTAGTTTATCACAGGACTACAAAAGGCAATTGGAAGGGCATCATTGAGAATGGCTTCGTGGCTGGAGGAGGAGAACGAAATTCGTCAGGAAGAGCTCACTCCTATTTTAGCGACGTTCGTGTTGATGAGAAAGAGTATGTGAATGGTTTGCGTGCTGAGCGACCCATTGAAATCAGGGTTGCAATGGCAGAAGCTGTCAAGGCTGGAATTGTGTTTTTCAGGACGGCTTCTGACGGCATTCTCACAAGTGATGTCGTCCCGCCACAATACATCATCTCTGTGGACGACACGGCAAAGAAGGTGAATCTTTATCGTCGCCAACAGGAGGTTGCGCAGTCTGCAGCAAGCAGTGGGGGAGAAGTTGGAGTCCAACAGCTTGTCGAGACCTTTGAGGCCAAGGCACCAAAAAGGACAGGTTCAACATCTCCGGCCGCCTCAACTGGCGCGCCCGCTGCAAAGACATTTTTCCCAGGGAAGGTGAAGCCTCCGCCACCAAATGTGGCCCAACTTGCCGGTATGCCTGGATATGCAAGCAGCAGACTGTTGCCCCCTCCCCCAAAGGGTGATGCTCCGAAACCTCCTGCAGCAAAGGTTGAAGGACCGAAGACACCGCCAAAGGTTGAAGGACCAAAGACACCTCCAAAGACATCTCCAAGGACACCACCGAAGGAAGGGACTTCTGCACCTCATGCACCAGAAGTTCCAAAAGCTGTGACCTCAGAAGTTGATGCAGCGGCAAAGGACGAACCTGCAAAGAAGAAGGCCGCCCTAACAAGCGTGCCAACAGCTGTGCCTGCAGCATCATCAGCTGCAGCCTTCTTGGAGCCTGTCCCAAAAGTTGCACCACCAAAGGCAGTGCAGAAAGATCCAAAAGCTCCAGTTGCAGAGTCGCCCAAAAAGACGCCAGCAGCAACATCAAAGTCACTGGTGCCAAAGCAGAAGTCTCGCCCTAAAGGCGATGACCAACCTTCGAAGAAAGAGGTGAAGAAGGAGGACAAGAAGCCGGTGCCGGTCAAGATCGAAGTCACGCAATGCTCAAGATGTTTTGCACAGACTTTCAAGGGACAGATTGAGTGCGATGTGTGTGGTTTGATACTTGAAGGGATCAACAAGGCCGATCGAACCAAGATTGCAGAACGAAGAAAGGCCGCCCTTCACAAGCTGGGACTGTACTACGATTTCCGTGGGGAGTACCTACAGCAGATCACACATGGCCAACTTGAAAATTTGGGTTTGTTGGACGATCAGGCAAGAGGAAGCTCAAGTCCGGAAGCCGGCCTATTGGCAAGGGCCAAGAGTCGCTTCGACCGTGCCTTGAGTTTGGGCTATGTGTCTGTGGCTGACAGGTTCGCCCAGGACGCCACGTTCGCAGAGAGCGTGTTGAACGAGGGGGAGAACGAGTACGATTGTGAAAGGTACGACCTCCTCAAGTCCGCTCATTTGCCGAAGCCTGGTCGCACCAAAGCTCAGGTCAAGATGGGTATTTCTGAGCAATCCCAGCTGGAGCACAATGCAATGAGGCTGGTTTACTTGGATTTGGCCAGTCGCTATGATGTCCCAAAGTCTTTCAGGTACATCGACCAGCCATGGTTCTACATGTACCGAACCGAGATTTACTCCGAAGAAGAGTACATTGACTACCTCAACAGGAATCCTGGACACAATCTTTTGTTGTCTTGCACTGGTGTTGACAACATTGCTGTTCACGATGCTGAACGCCATTTGAGGTGGATTAAGGGACAAAATGAAGAGCTGTACAAGCAGAATGCAGCAGAGAAGAAGAAGCAGTCTGACAGGGCCCGCGAGCAAAACGAGGCCAAGCGCAAAGCTGAGCAGACTGGAGCGTACGGCCAAGGTCCCTCCAAGAAAGGCACCGCCAAACCGGTTGCCCGACCATCCACAAGCGTAGAGGTAGCCTCATCATCCACGTCAGCAAGTCAGTGGCTCAATCGCCCTCAGCAAAGTCATTCCCGTGAAGATCGACAGTTCACCAATGAGTGGCAGAAGTGGCACGGGCGCTGGTACCAAAAGGTTATCAGGCATGGCCGAGTCGAATGGGAAGAGGGATAAATTTTGACACTGCTTGCATTGACGATCGTTTGTACAAAGCCGCACATTCTTTTGATTGTTTTCCCTTGGGTTTGCAAAGAGTTGGATCGGTAAGGCAGGCTTCAAAAGCCTCGCCCTGGTAAATGGGCAGCCTTGCCGTGTCCGGCTTACCTGAGGGGGGTGTATTTGCACCCCACGTAAAACATAGCTGTATCATAGTTGCATCTTACAGCTGTTGCGGCTCAGTAAAAAGGGTATTGCGGTCGCAGATGCTTAACGGTTGTTTCCCCGTGTTCTAGGTTTATCAGTCTATTTGGGATTATAACATAACCCCAGCTGAAACCTGAAAATACACATTTAACAGGACCACCTCCCTCAAAAACGTTTAAATTGTGTCTTGCAATTTGGGTACGCCCCCCTCCTTAAAAGGGTAGTGATTATTATATATATATATATTGGTTCAATTCTGATTGATCAGAATCTGCTAATTACAGCCTCCATTCGCCCGGCTGTGATGTTCAAACACTGTTCAGATATACATGTTGAAATTTGCAACTCAGTGGTTGTTCCAACTGTTCTTGCCGAAACGTCTCCATCTTATTCCAATTTTGGGTTGGTTTAAATCCGACCTTTTGCTGGTGAACTCCCAATTTCTAACGTGATCATCCCCATTTTTGTTTGCTTGGCTGCAACAATACTCAAAGTTCGATTTTGCTGCATGTCATTTGCCATGAATTCTATGCGTTTCATTGTGTTGTTCCATGGCATAATCCACCATAAGCGCTCCTTTCCGCTGCTTAAACAACATCTGCTCACGGTCAGCTCCACAGGTGACGCCTCTCGCAATCTCCAGGGCATCGGAGAGGTCTGGAGATCCCTGGCGCCGCTCTCTTGGGGTACCTTAGCGTCTGAGGGTGTCTAAAATTCTTGGATCCCCAAGACCAGAGGGATTTTTTTTTTCTCGGGGGTTGGGAATGATTGGGAATGCAGACATTTTTATAATGTTTTATAGTGGTTTAAGGTCGTTTTTGCTGGTCTCTTAAAATAGTGGATCCCCAAGTTACCATGGTTGTTTCAATACTAAGTAGTCATCCATGACTTGGATGATTTAGGGGTACCGCATGTCACCGCCATTTAAGGACACCCCGATATGGAGAGTCACATGAGCCACCAGGAAGTTCATGAATCATTCCAAACAACTATGGCAAAAGTATATGATATTTGTAATGTAGAATGATGTTGTGTTTTTTCTATATTGGCCAGCATCCCATGCAATTGTGGCAGGTTTTTTTTCTGATTTGTGGAATTGTGAAATTTCGCCAGCTTGGAGTCATTAGCCTTTTGTAATTGAATATAGCTACTGGAAGGTACGGTATTCCATTGACATCCAATTGAATCCACACTTTTTGTGGTTCAATCACCATTGTTTCTGGTAAAATCACATTTTTTTAATGCAAAAACTGGTGAAATCGCAATTTTTCATGGTAAAATCACCAGGGTTTATTGTAAAATCATCATTGTATACCATTGTTCACTGTGAAATCGCCATTTTTTCATGCTAAATCCACCCTTTTGCATGGTAAAATCCATGTCTTTTCACGGTAAAATCCAGGGTTTTCACGAGGCTCCGGCGTGGATCGGCAGTTGGCTGAGATGCCGCGGCCGCACCACTGGGCCATTGAGTGCGGCACTTGGATCGTGGCACCAGAACGGACCATTTGGCAATGGTTTCAAGACCCATGTAGAAGATATATAAACTGGTTGGTGGTTTCAAACATTTTATATTTTCCATAATATATGGGATAATCCTTCCCATTGACTAATATTTTTCAAGATGGATAAAACCACCAACCAGTAAATATATCTACCCTCTGGTTATTTAACATAGCCATGGTTTTTCGATGGCCCTAATCGAAATAGATGGTTTAGCGTTTTTAAAAATGGCTGGATTTTCCATGGCTATGTCTATGTAAATAACCAGATGGTAGATCTATATCTATATTCAACATAATGATGTGTTTAATATGATATATGTATCCATATTCACATCTATATTCACATCTATGTTCATATACTGTGTATATATATATAACCATATATACATTATACTATTTAATGCACACATGGATAGTTTGTTTCTAATATCCACATTTACATATTTTTGTTTATATATATAATGTCAACCTGACGCGAAGCAAAAAAGAGTTTTTTGGGAAGAACACACTATTTAGTATTTATATATATATATATATGTAAATACCTATTTATGGTATACATACGTATGTACTTGGGGATGGCGAATAAATTGCAATGACTCGTGGGTCCTTGGGACAATTACACTATCGTGGAGTATCACTACTATGGTTAGTCAAATGAGTCATTTGAATTGCAGGGTTTGTTAGACATCCGTGTTAAGCGGCTCAGAGTTTAGGATGCTAGAAAATGCTGGCAAGAGTCAACAACTCAGGCTGTCAGGGGTCTAGAATATAGAATGATGACGGGAATAACAAGCGACGTGAATGCCCAACGTCTTTGTTTAGCCCACAAAAAAAGGATTGAAACTGGAGCAACATCCATCACCTTTACCATTGGAAAATTCTGCATCAGCTACGGCATTCTACAGCATTCCAAATCCACTCGAGGATTCTATATATCATTTTATGTCTATAGTCTACTACAAGCATTATTACATACATATATATATATACATATGCATATGTATATACATATATATATATATTTATTTATATACATATGTATATGTATATGTATATTTAGCCTCCATCGATCACTCAGCCAGGCACATCCCCTTCCTGAAACATTTGGCGCAGCAGGGTCTCATCTCAGAGTCCCATGGACGGAGCCTTGGCACTGGAGCCACGGAGGATATTTCATCGTTGGAATGCTAAGCCTAGTTTTTTGCCACCCAGAGTCTCTACAGTATATAGATAATATATAATCTATAGATGTATATATATATAAATATATGTATATGTATAGATGTATGTCAACAGTGTGTGCGTGTTTGCATTTCTGTTGGTTCATCATATTCAACTGTGCCTGGTTGCTGGCTAGAACGAGCACTGCATGTGGTCCAAATTTGACCATTCCAATTACCCCGATCAATGGGAAGTATATTTATTCAGATTATGCCCTTAAATTTGACCTCACAGTTTCCGACCATTGGGGATGATTTTGGATTTGTTTGAGCATTTGGTTGCTGTAGCAATCAAGCATGGCAAGGGACGGTTTCCATTCGCCAGGTCAAGATAGCAGAGGCGACCGGTCAATCCTAAATTGTCATGTGCCAATTCGATTTTTCCAAGTTTGCATGATCAAAATCAATGCGATTATATATATAATCATAATCAGAGTTACATCCCATTCTATCCATCATGTTTCGCCATGTTTCCAGCAGTTTTCCCCAGAAATTCTCCATGTTTCATGGGCCTTCAACGCTGAGCCGCCTTTTAGCCAGGAACGCGGTGCATGCCTCGCGACCCATTGGCCACGTGCGCTTTCGCCACAACGGGCTGCAGCCCTTTGGGGCCATCAGCTTTGCGCTGGCGGCGGTGTGACGTGGCGGCAGCACGATGGGGAACTGGGTGCTTTACCCTCTGGTCAACTAACAGTTTGCTATGGAAAATCACCATTTTTAATAGGTAAATCAACTATTTCTATGGCCATTTTCAATAGCTATGGGAAATTACCAGAGGGTAAGCCTTTGAAAATGTGTGCATGGAGTGCCGGAAAAGGGCCAAAAGGCCCCAGACAACCACCAGAGGCTATAGTAATTAAGGACCCCAGAGATTCCAAAAAGAGGAGAGCAAAGGCAATCCAGAATCAAGCAAAGCCGAAAGGTGTAGGGGTACAAAACCCAAACAGCAATCAATAGAGACAAGAAAAAGTCACCATGTCCCGACTCCCAAGCATAAGGTTGCACATAAGTCATCCAAATCGTGGGCTGCATTAATACCATCCATTTTTAGCTGATTTGGGAGACAGTTTATGCAATCCATTTGATGGAAACTTAATCACCATTATTGTTAGGAAGGAATCAGCCCCAAATAGTGAGTCATTCTGTCTCAATTCAGGTTGGTGAGTTAGTAGAAGTAAGATTTACGCAGATATCTTGTGAGTTTTCTGAATCATATTGCTATAATATGGAATACTGTATTGAGGATATCAGTGTTAGGGCAATTTGGTGATTTAACCAAAACAAACGGAAAGTTACATATCATATAGGAACCCCAAAACAGATTATATAACTAGAACATATCACTTGCACCATCTTGGAAACACGCTGCTCTCTTTTTGGGGACCCTTCCATGTGATTCATGATAGGTAACTTGCTGAACATAGCTAGGGATTATGGTGGAACTCTATAATGCTAGTCATATAGATGGGGGTGCAGTTGGGCTTAGTGATGGGAATAACTGCTGAAAACACAAAAACACGTGAAGTTGGATACAATCCCTATACTTAGAACCATATGGACTTGTCCCCTCCAAGTATAGATCCATATTTGATAGGCCCGATAGGCCCCAATTACCTGGACAGCAGGATGATGAAATGTTCTTACCGCCCCTTCTCGTTTCACAAATCCGAAATCCATAGAACTGGGAACATCCCATACATCTTTAATGCCTAGCATGAGCTGAAAGTAAAGTCCTGTTGGGGAACTCAGGATACCAAGAACTACCCATAGCCATAGCCCAAGACTGGGAATTTATCGCCAGGATTCACTAGGGGAGCACTTTCCCAGCGCCCATGTTGGGTTGAACAACATTACCATCCCGTAATCAAACATGACAATGGGAAACCCACTCATTTCTGAGCACCCAAATGGAAAATCATCTAATTTTAGTGATTTTCCATTGCCATAAGTTAGATTGCCAGAGGGTACAATGATTCACCTTCACCCCCTTCACTTTTTCCAAGAGGCACACTGAAGCATCTCGCTGCGACCTAAGCAAATTGAATTCAACAGCCAAAGGGTCACGTCCCGGGGCTAGCATAGTTTGCTCCCTTGTCATCACTACGAGGCACCAATGATGGTGCGGGGAGGCACCCGTATGGTCCTTATTTTGTGGACCACCTAAGAATGAACCTGAAATTAGCTTCAATACCCTCTGGTAAACTAACAGTTTGCGAACTTGAACATGGCCATAGAAATAGTTGATTTACCATGATTTACCTATTAAAAGTTGTGCTTTTCCATAGTTATGTTAGTTTACCAGAGGGTAATTGTCATAGATCTCAGATGATTCGGACATTTTGACGATGTGGTAATTCTGAGTTGAATTTTGCCATCCTTGTCCCCGCGACCTTCTGAGTGGATGTGTATCACCATACTCTTTGTACAATACCCAGTGGGTGCGACTTCCAGTGTGTAAAGCTGGGCAGTTTGGCTCAAGTTTTTCCCACGGATGTGCCTGCACAGATGCTCAATTTTCCCATGTTAATAGTAGAGGATAAACCGATAAACCATAGCAGCCATAGCATTTCAGGGATAAGTACCATAGACTTTCCCATTTCGACCCTTCGACCCTCGTGGATTCCGTCGGATGCTTCAAGTGACCATCGCTTTGCCCAGCGGCCTTTGTGAAAACCTGTCAGTGCCGAAGTCCTCCAACGTCGGGGACTTGAGGACTCTGGCGCAGAAGAGATTTCAACAAGGCTTCCTGAGGCCGGGGCTGGATTATCATGGGTTTTTAATTGAATGTCCACATCTTTTAAACCAGCAGAAATTGCATTTTAAAGGGAGTTAACCCACCGAAATGGGGATTTAACAGGATTTTATCAATGAATGATGGATATGATGTGTGTTTGTAAGTGGGGCATACCCCCAAACAGCAGTTTTTAATGTCGAATATAATGAGTAATCGTTCAGGATTTTGCTTTACCCAACTTGCAAACAAATCCATATATGTGAGATGGTAAAAAGGATGGATTTATTAAGCCATAAATGTTAAGAACCCAGGATTATATAATATTGATTAATCGACCGACTGTTTATTATATAAACGAAGGGTGCGAATTTTGGCCCGAGGTCCCGGCCCATGTACATGCTGTATTAGTCAGGGGGATGGGCATCAGCCCATTGCTGGGGATTGATGTACCCACTGAAAGGATTCCGACTTGGGGATGACCATGGCACATAGATTTGTTTGTCTAACCATGGCACAAGAACTTTGACTTTTCAAGGGGAAAAAGGAGATTACACCTTTTTCATCACCCTTAGTTTTCCGTGGAGATGATCCATGATGATTACCCCAGCTCATGTTTGGGTGATATGAGGAGGTATATGAGCATATGAATATTTAGATGGACCCTTCTTACGCCCTGAGAAAGATCGACCTTGACCCTCAGTTGACTTATAAACAGATTGGCAAACATACCCTCAAAAATGGGATAACATCTCATAGCAATCCATACGTGTTTGGTAGCAGCTAAATTTCAACAGGAAGGCCACCATAAGAATAGCTAATTATGTCATGGACTGTTATGGGTTCGAATAACATCCCTAACAAAGTCGGCAAAATACCACAGAAAATGGAGTAGTAACCATACACATCATTAAATCCATATCAACATCATATATATATAATTATCATATAAGTATCATATAAATATCATATAATTATCTTATAACATCTTATAATATCTCAAAATATCATATATAATATCATACAATATATATATATATATATATATATCCTTATCAACCCATAAAATGCCATATAACATATCATAACATACCATAATAATAATAACAATAATAATAATAATGATAGTGATAATGATAATGATGATAATGATAACATATCACACGATCCCTATTGTTTCACGGCCACTTCCAAGGCTCATCACCTCCTCCGGTCGCGCCTTAGATGCCGCCGAGTCCCTGGCGCTCCGGGACGGCGACGACGTCATCACCGCCGTGGCGCTGCGGATGGAGCTGACGGCAGCGGTGAAAGCTGTGGCGCTTTGGTGCTATGGAGGTGGACATCTTGTGTGGTGTTTTTTGGGTGTTTTTTTGAGGGGTTGGTTGGATGGTTGATGTTTTGTTGAAGGCTTGTTGGTGAATTGATGGTGAATTGATGGTGCTTGATGGTGCTTGATGGTGCTTGATGGTGCTTGATGATTTGTGTCGTGAATACTATGGCATTTAAATGCAATATTTTTGATGCCAAGTCTATATTTAGCATGTATTATTTCGATGTGATTGTCAAGTCTCCCACTCTGGGAGGATGCCAGTCATGACTTTCACATGTCTTGTGGATGACCGAACCAGGTGATCGGATTGTCACCTGGGGTGATCCACGCCTGGGCGGTGACGCTTCTGCCATCCGCGCGCAGCTCCGGGGTGTGCAGCAGGTTAAAGCCACGTCCGGTGCCTTTGCAGCGATTGGGGGGAAGTGATCCGCCACCTCCTCGTGGTTCCCCCGGGCCCCTTTCCGTGCGAAGGGGAGGCGAAGTTTAGCGGATCCGGCAGTACCTATGTCGTTAGCACCCTGTATGGAGATTTGGCACCTCTTTGGATGCACTAGGGAGAGGCTTTGGCAGCACCTCGACGGCAGCCTTCGGGTACTGCCGGGCTTCTTTGAAGCCATGCCCGTGCCACCTCTGATCGATAATGGAGGGAGAAGTGCCTGTGGAAGTGGGGCGGTGGCACTTCGCACCACCTCGGCGACATGCTGGACGGGTGGTTTGAGCACAGCACTCGGTGGGTGACGAGTCGTTCTGAGGGCTTCTGCCCGCGGGGCGTAATGAGTTTAAAGCACATCAATTAGTTTGAGCACACGACTGCTTTGCATGTCGATCCATATTCAAGCGAGGCCTGGTCACCGAATTCTCTCGCTCTGACCAGCGTTATTTTCTAAGAATTTGCGGTGCTGCCACCTGTGCTACCGCCTTAAGAATATTTTTGGTGGCAGCGTCTTAGTGCAGACTCCGGTCTGCATATTTGGCCTGTTGCCTTTGCAATATTTGCCCCCTTTGCAGCGATTGTGGCAGATGGATCTGTGGTCACTTGGGGCAGTGCAGATTATGGCGGTGACAGCTCTGGAGTCCAAGGTCAGCTCATCAATGTGCAGCGGCTTCAGGCCACAACTAGGGCGTTTGCGGCACTCCTGGCAGATGGATCCGTGGTTACTTGGGGCCGCAGAGATTGTGGTGGTGACAGCTCTGCAGTCCAAAGCCAGCTAAGGGGTGTGCAGCAGGTGGAAGCCACAGACTTTGCATTTGCCGCGATCTTGGCAGATGGGTCGGTGGTGACATGGGGCAACCCAGACTGTGGCGCAGACAGCTCAGCAGTCCAGGATCAGCTTGGTGGAAGCGTGCAACAGATTCGGGGTGCGACCTATGCATTTGCTGCTGTCCTGACGGATGGATCAGTAGCAGCATGGGGTGATACAGATGAGGGTGGTTCCAGCGCTGAAGTCCAAGATCAGCTCAGGAGTGTGCAGAAGCTTCAGGCCACAAGTACAGCATTTGCGGCTACCCTCGCAGATGGATCAGTTGTCACCTGGGGCAATCCAAAATTTGGTGGTGACAGCACCGCAGTCCAAGATCAGCTCAGGATTGTCGAGCAAATTGAGGCCACAGCCGGTGCCTTTGCAGCGATTGTGGCAGATGGATCTGTGGTCACTTGGGGCAGTGCAGATTATGGCGGTGACAGTTCTGAAGTCCAAGGTCAGCTCATCAATGTGCAGCGGCTTCAGGCCACTACAGATGGTGCATTTGCTGCACTCCTGGCAGATGGATCCATTGTTACGTGGGGTTCTTCAGACTGCGGGGGTGACAGCTCTGCCGTGCAAGATAAGCTCATCAAGGTGCAGCAGCTATGGGCCACTGAAGCAGCTTTTGTTGCGATCCTATCTGATGGGTCCGTTGTGACGTGGGGCGATCCAAGTCATGGTGGTGACAGCTCTGCAGTCCAAGACCAACTGAAACAGATATAGTTAGTAGCAACATGAGCTGAATGTGCATGGCTTCAGGTTCGCAACTCTGGATATGCATGCTTGCTATGCATCAGACAACTCAATGCAGGCTATGTGAGGGGTCTTGCAGTGGTGTTGGCAATCTTGACCTGCTGCTGGTTGCCAGCATCCGTGATGACTTTGCTCCATGACTCCCAGCATGATCATTTCCCCGAGCAGTCTACTCCGCTGGGCCGTTTCTACCTGCCAAGCTCGACCCCGCGGTGTGGGTGCGAAATGGCGTGCTGGTGGATTTGGGGTTGTCTCAGACAGGTTCGCCCCGCAAGTGCTGATCGAACAGTACATCCCTCAATACTTGTAGCTACCTTATATATAGTTGTTAAATGCACCCATCATCACCCATCCAAGCTGGTGCCCCACCCTCAGTTGAAAGAGCGTCGGTGTTGTTTATCACCCATCTATAGCACCCTATATGTTGTAAGATTTTGTAAGTATATATATATATCACCATAAACCCAAGCCTCATTTGAGCTGATTCAACCAACTTAGGTAACTTTGGTTGGCTAAATCTCCTCAGAGGTTTCATCATTTTTGATGCCAAGCGTCAGATTGAGGTCGGATGGCCAGCAAGTTCCCTTGCAACGCACTTGGAAACGTGCTTGGCATGGCTCCACTCTCCATCGCATCGAGCAGATCGCGCGCGAGGGGCTGAAGGTGGGCAAGAAGGGGAGCCTTAGATGGGAATTCATGGCTTTGATCGCCTGCGGTCGTCAAACATGGCTGGGGAAATCCAATGAAATCCACTATGAATTGGGTCTTTTTGTCATCATTTGAGTGGTAAAATCGTCGAACGAAGTGGGGGATTGTCCAGTTTGATTGCCAGAGGGTAATGGGAATGGTGGGAACATGATGGGAAATTCTGGGGCCGCTGATTGAAATGCTATGCATTTTTTTTGCGAAAATGATGGGAAATGGATGGGAATTTTCGCATGTTTGGCTGGAACATCCCAACGACTTTTGATGGGATGAGACGATCATCATTCATCAATGGGTGATTTCCAGCCAGGTAAACTGGAAAGCAAGTCAGGTGGCTGGATGGAAATAATGGTTAAATTTCATGAGAAAATCATGTTCGTCCATGTTGATCCATGTTCATGTTCATCCATTAATGTGCTACACCGTAGCTGATGTGGCTGTAGCTGAATGCAGCTGAGGATCTATTTGTCTCCATCTTTCCAATACACCTTCTGCCTCTACAGTCTCCCTGACTTGCGCGTGGGCAACGATCGCTTTCGCCTGGTGCTGGAGGTGCGCGTGCGGCCCGGAGCCTTCAAGGAGCATGGTGACCACTACAAGCCCTTTGGCTCGGCCCGCGGGGGGTGAAAACCATGAAACATGCTGGGTTTCAGCAACGAAGATAGGGGCTTACTATTTAATTAACATTGTCTCACATAATTTAACATGGTTCACCTATGTTTGACTAACCATCAAGTTGATGTTATGTTTAGAGAGAATGATTTGGAGCAATGCTGAATGAACATGATGATCACGAATTCATGTAATGTTTAATGGACAGGATGATCACGATAATGTTTTTCATATGATGATGATGCAACATATCCAGGGAGATCTCGTTCGCAAAATGTGTTCTGGTCATGTAAGACGTCTAAGGTGATGGTGCTGGAAAGACAGGGCGAGAGTGGGAAGATCTTCCGAATCAGAGGGGTTGGGATCGATGTCCCGTTCTTTGTGATTTTCAACATCACTGGAGATTTAGTATCTGCTGGAGATCATATTCCCAAAAAAGTTGGGTGATGTGCAATTAAGACAGTTCCCAACGGTCCCACCCAACCCGTGAATCACACGAAATCACCAATGTCAGGTGGCTGACTTTTAACATCTTTAACATAGCTGGAATAGCTCACAAGAACAACCCGATTGCCCTCTTGGTGCATCCATGTTTTGCTGTGCGTGATCTTTAGCAGTCCAATATAGCCATGGACTAAAGCCCAGCTGTTTCTTGTTCCCCACTACCCCGGATGCTGTTCCCTAACTCAGCAGAATTTTTGGGATTGGTTGGGACCACCGCAACGATGGCACCAAGGTTCTGCGAACTTCAACATGTGGAGCCATGTATTCCCCTGGATTGTCTTGAATGGGAGGTTGGCAAGGACGCGGCCTCTTGGCTAAGTGGTTGAACCATGTTGAACCATGTTGAACTTCGAAAACAAAGAGGATAAAGAGAGAAAGGGAGATTACAGGACCATAGAATCAGTTTGAATCATATAATCATCATAATTACAGACTATTACAGTATTATAGAATCATATAGAATCCCTTCCCCTTAAGATCAAGCGCACCCCAGAACCCCCGCTTGCCGGATCGCTGAGGGTCGGCCCGTTGGGCCCCAACAAATTTGTTGTTGGGTACCCCCTGGTAAACGTTAACACAAAACATATGGAAAGATCCACCCCTTTTTTCATGGGAAAATTCACTATAAATGGTGATTTTCCATAGTTATGTTAAATTACCAGAGGGTAAATCATGGTAAATCTATGAACTAATGCTATTCTAATGTTTAAGTAAGAAATTGAGTATATAACTAGTTTTCCGGCAGATTTTCCTTACTAACCAATTTACAGGTGCAAATTGTTCGTTTGAAGGGGACTTGGGTTCGCAATTGAGCATATGGGGATAATCATGGCGAAATAACCGCCATGGCATGTAGCCCCTTGAACTATGGCTCGAAACTGCTTAGTATGGGGATGGATCAAAACCTTGTACCCCTGGTGAACATCAAAATAGCTGGTAGTTATGGATATGAATCCCCCTAAAAATGTTACAGGTATTGATCCATACAGCTATGGCCATTTATCAGTTATAAGTACTAACAAGTCACCCCATTTATAGAATGTTTGTCATCCCATAGAAATAACCAGTTATAACTGGTAGCCATGGCCATAACTGTAGCCACCCAAAAAAAATCGTGGACCTTTCACCTCCAGTGCCCCAGGATGCTCCGTAGCCCTTAAGGCGGCCGTCCAAGTGGTGGCTCTCACGCTGAAGCAGCTGCAGCCCACGGAGCCCTCGCTGCGGCACGACACCAACATCCGCCACGGCTGTCGCGCGCTGATCGCGGACGCCGGGGAAAAGCAGCGCTCGCGGCGAGGGCCAGGGAGGGGGATGAAAGGCTACCCTCTGGTAAACTAACATAGCTATTGAAAATGGCCATAGAAATAGTGGATTCACCATCCCCGTTCGAATTTCAACTACAGAATGGGAGGCCTTGTGCCCCGTTTCAAGGCCTTTCCAGGCATAAATTAAGATGAAAAAATGGGGATGGGCCAGGCATTTTGTACCCGCAGCTTGGGAATTGCATTTTATAAGTTGTCAACGTTTCGGTAGTTGAAAGACCTTTAAAAATCGAAAGTCACTTTGTAGCAAGAGAATTTGCCCATCGGAAGACAACATGTAAAAACCCAATCTCATTTTGTAGCAAGGGAAGTTGCCCTTCGGAAGTGTTCCCTTCAAGTAACCTGATGATAAAAACATATAAAAACCAATCTTCATTTATAGTGGTGGAGTGTCCCCTTCAAGTAACTTGATGATAAAAACCAATCTTCATTTTGTAGTATTGAAGTGTTCCCTTCAAGTAACCTGATGATAAAAGCATATAAAAACCAATCTTCATTTTGTAGTGGCGGGGTGTCCCCTTCAAGTAACTTGATGATAAAAACCAATCATCATTTTGTAGTGGTGGAATTTCCCCTTCAAGTAACCTCATGATAAAAACCAATCTTCATTTTGTAGCAGTATCATGTTGTCATTTTCCGTAATCCTCTGGGGGTTGAGAACCATCATTTTATAATGGCTGAGGTTAGGAATTTTGATGCTTTGGTACAAAATGGGTTCTCGACCCCATAGTAGAAATTCAAACTGGGATGATTTACCCATTAAAAATAGTGATTTTCCATAGCTATGTTAGTTTACCAGAGGGTATATGGTTGGCTCAACTCACTTGAAAATTTGGATGGGTAAAAAATGGTAAAAATAAACATCTTGATGATTTGGGAGCTCACGGAAAAAGAGGGGAGAATAAAGGGGACGATTTAACGGCAAGATGTACCAAGATATGTTTTTTTTGCCACGAAAACCAATGATTGTTGTATGATTGAAAATGGCACTGAATCCAAATGTCAGGAAAACTTGAGCGATTGTAACCTTCGGTCATCAAAACATTGCTTACTAGAGGGTGCCCAGCGAAAGTGGAGATGTTTGGTTATTTTTTTATGTTGTGAATCAGGAATATGAGGAGACATAAATTGGCTCTCCGCGATTGGCGTTTCAAGTAGCCTGTTGGGTTATGATATCATTTCACACTTGGCTACTATTTACCAATGTATCCAAATACATTGCATGCAGCCAAAAACCAGTGGATCTTTGATTCGATATACTGCAGAAGCCCCAACAGACCCTCCATCCTGTCGAAAAAAACGCTGACCTGATTGCTGCGTTAGTCGCGCAGCCTGCAGATCCAGTTTTGATGGCTAATAGGCTTGGGATGGTTTGGGACTGAGTTGACATTTGATGCTTGATATAGTCCAATTTCTACCAGGAGGAACGTTTATTGTATCTTTGTAAGCTATATATATATATACACACGTCATTTTACATTTGATTTGGGAGCGTGCGGTGGTTTCATAACACTTACTATGTACTGTACCCAGCTTTATCAGTTTAACTAATTTGGTCTTGGAAGTTATTCATTGATTTATATATATATGTATAGATGCACATATTTACACGATTACATACATACATTATATATATTTTAAAAAAAAACATATATTATATTTGTATTTATTTGTTTATTTATCTACATTGGACTGGTGAAGAGTACCTTGCCCAGATCCGAACAGTGAGGCTTGAATCTCTAAAAACTTCCACAGCTTCGGCCAAGGGAGTTTCAGCCCGGGCCCCACGGAGAGAAGGTCTTGGAGGTCTTGGAATGCTTCTTGATGACATAACCCTTGGCAATCTATCCTGTCAATTGAAAATCCTCTATAAATGACTGGTAGAATCACTTAAGATAGATAGATAGATAGATAGATAGACAGACAGACAGATAGATAGATAGATAGTTAGATAGATATATAGATAGGTAGGTAGATAGATAGATAGATAGGTAGATAGATAGATAGATAGATAGATCAAGCTATGTTTGAATACCAGAGGGTAAGAGTTTTACCATAATTATTTGATTTATTTGATTTGATCGGCAGAACTGGAGTTTCAACCTGTCCAAAGATAGGGATTCGATCTTCAAATTTCAAATGCAGCATCAGATGAGATGTTTTCACCCGCAAAAGATGCCAAAAATCGCCAGAATCTCTTCATCATTGTAGAGCTGACCTTTGCCGATGGGTTGGTCGGTTCATGGAAGATGGCAACAGGGAACATGTTCTCGAAATCAGTCGGTATCGATCAATGGATCCTGATAGATTCTGATTTTGCAAGTGGGCCATGGGCCACAAGGGACCTATCATCGCTTCTGTTGGTTTACTGTCCATCTTCCATCATTTTCCATCCCGTTTACCCATATATAGTTGGGATTAATAATATAAATCATCTTCCATCATCTTCCATCATCATCTTCCATCATCATCTTCCATCATCATCTTCCATCATCATCTTCCATCAATTTAAATATATTTTAGCAACCATTTTGTGTCCGTGCTATAATTGTTATTAACTGATTTCGTTGTCGTATGGCCGCGGGTCAGAACGCTGCTACCCTTCTGTTCACACCGAAATAGTTGTTAGTCATGGACGTTTATCTCCCGAAGAATGGTATTCTTCTGTGTTTTTTGGTGTTTTGAGACATCCCCATCTTACAGGGTGGGGCCCCCCACTTATAAGTTGGTTTATAAACCATTATAACCCCCAGTAACTACAGCTATACCTACCATAAACCATAGTTAAGCCACTTATAAGGCAACTGAACGCTATCTTGGGGGCCCCATCTTGTAGGTCATGTTCCAATTTTGTATGTTTGGCATGACCTCTTTCATGGACTTCCCCTAAAGGGGTTGCCCTGTGAAACGACGCAAACTCGCGTCAGGTCTTAGCTCTTTCGGCCAGAGAGGCCGGCGGAGTCATGGAGGTTTCCGGAGTCATGGGATGATTTAGCCGGTACCCACCAAAATTACCCGGCCTGGTAAACTAACATAGCGAACTGGAAAATCCATGAAATAAATGGAGGTTTCTAGCTGGGAAAATCATCTGAAAATGGTCCATTTTCAATAGCTATGTTAAATTACCAGAGGGTATCCAAAATGAGACCAGTTTAGCATGGCTTTAGCCATGGGTTTGGGGGATCTCCCATTCTAAGAAACCTTCATATATACTAACCTAGTCTAACCTGCTTCTAAAAACATACACCCGGCCTTGAAAAACCTTGGAACACCGACTGGTCGCCAGGCTGTGCTCTTTCCCAAAGAGGTGATCGGTCGAGAGTTGGTGCTGCCCGCAGTCAGCTGATGTTTGTTTGGTGAAAAGGCACCATCCAACTACGATTATTTCATGTTATTTCACCATAAACCCGACAGTTATGACAGGAATAATCCCATCGTTGTGATTATTCATTGCTATTGTAATTCAGCCAACTTGGCTGTTGTAATTCATTGTTACTGTAATTCAACTATTGAATTGGGGTAAGTTTTGGGGCACCACCTTGGATGTTCAATGCATCCGTCCAATCATGTTATGGCAGCGGGGAAGCTCCAACTCCATGAAAAATGATGATGTGTTTATGTAAAAAGGCTGGGAATCCCTAAAGTTTCAACTAAACCCATGAAACCCATAATCTGCTCACAATGAATGGAAGGTTGGGATAGAGTCGGAGCACAAAATCGAGCGGGCCCCGAAGCGATTTCTTCAAGTTTTCTTGAGGCGACTCGTGATCTCACGCAGTGGCTGCAAAAACTGCAGGTGCGGTCGGGGAGCTGTACATGACCGGAATATGATTTTGACATAAGCCCACGTTTGAATGGCACGCCGTTTCTTGACATGTGTGTTGCTGCTATTCAGGGGACATGATATTTCATGCCATGGATTGAAATCAGTGTTTTCATAGTTTCTCCCTAAATACACCCGGTGGATCTCGAATTGACATGGCAAGTATATCATAGTATATCTCAATCATTTAAGATCAATTAACCTAACCATGTTGTTGAGTTTTTCCCAATGTGTGATATTAGACGTAAGTGCAATATAATATGCAGCCATGAACTGAATCTTCACAACTGGCCATGTAGATATTGCAAAGGAGTGTCGTCGAACGGTGGCAGGGTGATCATGGATGATCTCAATAACCTGTTTTTTTTTCCCAAGTCTGTACAATTATGGCCATTTATCAGTTATAAGTACTAACAAAACCCCATTTATAGAATGTATAATCCCATTGAAATAAGCAGTTATAACTGGTAGCCATGGCCATAACATGCCATAAGTGATAATATCATATATCAATATCACCAATATATAGGATGAATGATGGGTGATGACTTCAGGACTTCATTCATGTGTTTGGACAATGCCTGGGCTACCAAGGCTGCCATTCACGATGCTGCTGGCATCAAGGACCCTTGGAACGCGTCGGACGTGTCGGTGCCGTGCTGGGCCCTGCAGGGTCGACCTTGTCAGGTGCCCGACTGAACATCTTATATATTTGTGATATTGATATTATCATTATCATTATATTTGTTCAATCATTATAACTGGTGATATTATGCCCAATATACTTTCGATTGGTGCCCAACTGATGTATGTCCAGTTATCATATGCCCATATAATATCACCAACAGAAAGGATATATTGGGGTGCTACAGAATTCTGCAGAGTCTGGCAGGGTTTTTTTTGGTTGTCTAGTTGAGCGTCTTGCGAAGGACCTTGATTCGCCCCGGGTGGCGTCTGGAAACTTGGGCCCGGGTGGCAACTTAGGATTTGGAAGGTCTGAAGTACAGAACGTCACACGTTGCTCAAGATATCTGATGGTTTTCTAGGATGTTCATGGAAATTCCATGATTGTCTACTGATTCCTTTGAGGAATTGAACATGGATTTTCTGTCTTTTGTTGGGAATGCAGATCACTTCTATAGTTCAAGCCCAGGCTGGACGCGGAAATTCACGCGGACAGCTTGCCCCCAGCTGAAGAGGAGCCATTTCTCCATGGAAAAGTAAAAACATCACCACATGCGTGTGTCTGAAAATGGGGCTACCCCCCAAAACACTATGCATGGGGGGTATAAACCATCAAAAATGGGGTGGTGGTTTATGACACTGTTTTACCCACATTATAGTCATAAAGTTGCCATCTTGGAATAGTTTCAAGGCTACCCTATTCAATGCGACCATGCGACCATGTTTGGACCCCGAAAAAAGGTGATTGGTGAGAATTATGGACATGAGCATGAGTCAGAGTCAGGTATAGCACCACCAAAAAAGGATAGAACGGTAAAATCCCACATAAAGGATGTAAATATAATGTAAATAATGTAATGATGCATTACTTTTCTGAGGATTGCTGTTCCCATCCACCATCCAGGCCCCCCGAAGGTCATGTGAACATTGGTCCGATGAACATCCACGAGCTAGTTCGATAGCATTAGCCATAGGATGCCAAGTTACCCGAACGAATTAACCTGCAGCACCTTGCAGGAGGAGTTTGATGGTTCGTTGCGTAACATTCTTATGATTATCGTTTTTGGTATATACAATGACAACATAATAAGTAATTCGGAATAAGAATGCTAATAACACAACCAAATCAAACAAACTAATGGATATGTTTCTTTGTTCCTATTCTTTTCTAGTACAAATAATGTCCTAAACCATCCGCGAATCGATTTGAGGAGCTGCAGCCTAAGGGCTTCTTCGGCCGTGCTTGGGACCAGCTCTTCGGGATCCTTAGCCTAGACCTCGGCAGCTTTCAACGATACCCTGATCCCTCCGGTGTGTCAAACGTGGCGATGTTGTGGAACAATCTGGATCTAAATGGAGGTGTTAAATCATTAAAAACATGAAAATCATTATAAATTATAATGGTATATCTGGATTATTATTTTTTTTTTAAATGAGCAAAACATACCCCGCAGTAATTCTGGAAGCGCTGGAGGCAGTTGGATACCATTTGGTACCATGCGGTAAGATGACCATCTTTAACGGGCAATCATTGAACCAAGTGGGCCATTTACTTCATAGCAAACTCTTAGTCATTCCCAGCAGGTAAAGCCAACATTGCATAGGGATATAGCCAACATGTTTTAAACAAATCCGGGAAAACCACCTGGATGGCTCCAAATTGTCATCAGTTCAATGAGAAAACGCAGTGAACTCGCAAAAGAACAAACAGGATGTTTTAGATGCGCCCTGTCCAACAGTGGAAACCCTTGCTTTAACCATGAAACAAAAAAGGATTAACCAATAGTCCATTTTGAGGTTTGAAGAAATCCATATACCGATCAGCTGACATCTACCCGCATGTACCCATATATTATACAACTGTAGTCACATGTTCCCAGGAAGTGGCTCAAAGAACCTCCTATAAATGGTAAAAACCGCGGTTTGAAGTGTTTTGTGTTTCAGGGGTTTTTCGATTGGTGAAGGGTCGTAAAAAAATACTGAGTTTGTTTCATGTTTTGGATGGGGAGGTAACTGTTTTGACCAATTTTCTGCTGGATACCCGGCTGAAGTCGCCTCCTCGCCGTCGCAGGTTTTATAGAGGCAGGAATTGGTGGCTGCGGAGTCCGCCCAGTTTCCAGTCCCAAAGATCCCAAAGAAATGTTTTTTCCGCTACTTGTGGATTTGAACTCAGGGATCATCTCTGTAAAGAAATGAACTTGGTAAGTTTCATTTTGTTTGTGTGTTCTCGAAATTTCGCATGTTTTTCCACCTGCTGGGGAAGGTTAAGGAAACTCTTTCAGATTGACCACCAACCAGTTGTCCATTTCTCTTTACCTTTTCCAAGAAGAATCGCCATGTCTTTTTGTGACCTCCATACTACACGTCCACAGAGGTGATCTCATGCCATTGCAAGTGATACAGCTATGAGGTAACATATAGCAAATGCATGCAAATGATGGTATTGGAACATATGATATGTGTGTCATTCACCAAACAGTTAATAGTTCTCAAAGTTGATTATGACATATATATATATATAATTATATATATATATTGTATTTATATATATATACATACATATACATATATTACGATATTATGTCATGATTCTGAAATCACTACGTTTTATAAATCACCACGTCACATGAAGCCGCGCGATCCCACGGCTTCAAAGCGGCACCGCGCCAGTTGCCGAGCGACCCCACGGTCTGGATCTTCGGCCTGATGCTGGGGTGAGAAGCTGAGTTCGCATAGGGATCACTGCATTGGTTGAAGGGAAAATTCGCAGGAAAGCACCGGATTTCCCATGGGAAAATCAATTGAACCACAGGGAAAAATCGATGGAACATCCTATTTTTCCCGAGGGAAGAACAAGTTATGCAATTGATGTTGAAAAGGGAAAGATCGCAACAAACCCGAAAATAATCTGGATGATTTGGGCGTATCATGGATTGGAAACCTCCAGCTTGGGGGTACAAACATCGCAGTCCCACAGCAGGGCAGTTGAGGTGGCCAGTTGCATGGTTCAGTGGGTGATATCAGTGAGATCCATATTTACTGTAACTGGTTGGTGGCTTGGAACCATGGAATTTTATGACTTTCCATTCAGTAATTTCATCATCCCAACTGACGAAGTCATATTTTTCAGAGGGGTAGGCTCAAGCACCAACCAGGTAGACAAATCATCCCCATTTGTCAGTTTATTGTTGGTGATCTATCCCATTGGTGGAAGCCCTCCTTATTCATTTTGTTCTGGCTGCTTGCCTATTCCTCCTTGATTCACTGCGCACTGTTGGCGGAAAACTACGAGTTTGTTGATGTTTAGGTGAAGTAGATATTTCTAACTACTAACAGAATCAAATGTCAACTACATCTTCTAGTACATATTAATCAACACAGATATATGTAGATATCTTGCTTGCTTCTTATTGATGTCTATACATCAAATGCTTGGTGGTTTGACAGATGTTTTACTTTCCATCTTTGGGATGCCTCTGGCCCTCAGCCATCAAGAACATCTATATATCAGTGATATACTGCTTGGAGGTTTCAAACATTTGGATTATTTTCCATTTCATATATGGGATATATGGGATAATCCTTCCCATTGACTCATATTTTTCAGAGGGATTGAAACCAGAGCAACCAGTATAAGTGGAGCTTGAAGATCATCTATATAAATTGGTGGATTTGATCATTTGATCGATTTTCCAAATCACGTTTGATTTACAAATCAGTTGCAAAATACCACCAATTTGATGATTTGAAAAAAAAAAACGCATTTCCGCTTTGATGATTCTTCAAGCAAAGCCTCGTGATAGGTGGCCGCTGTTGCAAAATCTCTTCGCCCGGGGTCCTTGCGGTCCTTGGTTCGTTTAGGGAGTGATTTTCATACCCGGGGTTATTGGGGAATATGAACTAACCCATGGCCATGGTAGGGGAAACTCTAGAAAATTGGAGTTCAGAAACTAACCCATGGTAGGGGGACTGGTTGAAAAACCAACTATATGTTGAAAAAAATTGTGTTTTAGTGGCAAGAAAGTGTCAACTTTGGAGTCAGCATCCCCAATTCTGGTGATTTCAAGCTATCCAGCGGTTAGGAGGGTATAGGAGGGTGCTGTTGGGAGCTGTTGGGTCCAGAGCTTCCCAACAAAACATGGGGAACCAGTCATTGGATTGGTTTAAGGGAAAAATTACAGGAAACCAGGGTTTTTACCATAAAATATGGGGTTTTCCTGTAAATTTTCCCCTAAACCAATCCATTGAGGAACCAGTTGGAATCTCAAATTGAGTTTCCCAACCACCTGATGACGTCAAGTAGTTTGTATATGTTTGTATTGTCCACCATATGACTGGGATGATGGTCCCAGTATTTTGTTCAGGGGATGAAACCAGCAGCCAGAGGGCAATACTCGAAGGCTCACCAACACTGGCAATGGAAATTCTGCTTTGTTCGCGAACTATCCTCGTGAGCCCATCGAACTACAAGGGACCCCAAGACACATTGGACCCCAAAAGATACGGAGAGAGAACTACCCTCTGGTAATTTAACATAGCTATTGAAAATGGTCATTTATAGTGAGTTTTCCCAGTAAAAATGGTGATTTTTCATAGTTACGTTAGTTTACCAGAGGGTAAATCAGGGTTGTCTTTTCTGAGGTGTCAATGAGAGGGGCAAGGGTTGACGATAGGAGACTTCTTCGCAAGTCGGAGTGTTTCAACGGCCATGTGATGTTCATACACAAAATCAACCCTGGCGATCGCCCATCCCCGGGCCCTGTGGTTTTGCTCACCAACTTTTCAAAAATCCCGAGGACTTTGGTTGACAAAACACGCATCTCTTGCCAATAAAACATATAAAACCGCAGCTTTGTGCACTACCCCACCTGGTCAAAATGACACAGCTTGATCCCGCCTCCAGTTGTGTTGTGTTTTCCAGGCCGCCAGCGGCGGCGCGGCTCCACAGGTGGCCTTTGGGATGGCGCCTGGGACCTGGAAGACCTGGCGTTTTTCCGTTGATCCGAAGCATACCCTCTGCAGTTATGGCCATTTACCAGTTATAACTGGTTATTTCTATGGGATTATACATTCTATAAATGGGGTTCTAAGTACTTACAACTGATAAATGGTCATAACTGTGGTAATTTCCCAGTTCGCGAACTGGACCACAATTCTGAAGGGGTAAATGATCCAATCACAGGCCATCTATACAAGGTGGCACTCCCCCCATTTATAAGTTGGTTCATACCTCCCACCCATCAAGAAAACGTAACTACCATGATCTGAGATAATAAACCCAAGTGTTCACTTGGAGTTCTTACCATTATCATCCCATTATCTACAATGTGGGGCCCCCGTAAAAGAAATCGCCAAATTAGTTTATAAATAACTCCTGCACTATGGTTTATTAATGTTTAATATACATATTAGTTTATTATACCCTCTGGTTATTTAACATAGCCATGGAAAATGGCCCATTTATAGATGATTTTCCCATATCTCCATTTAGTTCAGGGATTTTCCATGGCTATGTTAGTCATAACCAGATGGTAATCATTATTAACCATCATTAACCATGTATTAACCATATATTAACCATATATTAACCATATATTAACCATCATTATTGATGGGGTTAAAAAACACCAAAGTTCACCTCACTGGGGCGCCCCACCGGACGTTCGCTCACCTTCCTGCCAGGCGGGAAGTCCACGAACGATCCAGGAGGGCGACCTGGTGAAGGCGTTCCCAGGGAAGAGATGGCGAAGAGATGGCGATGTGGGATGGGAAACCATGGTTTTTCAGAAGATGATTTGGGTATGGATCAATACCTATTAATACAATTTTTAATGGGATGAACATCCATTTACCAGCTATTTTGATGTTCACCAGGGGTACAAGGTTTTGACACACTGCCATTTGGGTTCAATGATTTGGAACATGATTTGGCAAATGATGATCTGGGAAATTAGATCTTTAGATCTTTTTTTTCGGACACATTTTGATTCAAAAATCTTCAGTTAAATCATCTGGGAAAATCCCTGTGGCCAGGTCGAAGAGTTGGAGGTGCACAAGGAGAGCAGAAACGCCCCATATCTGTGCTTAGACAGCCCCGTTAAATAGTTTCCACATCTACGAACGACGAGATGAATAGTGTTTTCTTCAATATATATATATATATAGAGTATAAAAGTGTGTTTGTGTAGAGAGAGAGAGAGAGACTGCTATTATACACCGTAGATATGTTTCTTGTCTTGCTATGATAAACACAAACGTGCGACATCATGTTCAGAACGGGCAATGAACCTACGGGTTCATCCTACGTAATCCCCGGCCATTTCGATGGGAATCCCAGCTGACGCCAGGAACAGCAATCCATTGGTCCATGTCCACCATGGGATGAATTTCAACTCAAAAGAATGGGATGAATGACATGGTAAGGCAATTTCTTATATTATAGGATTATATAGGTAACTTGAATTCCATTGGTCATTGGTCCATGTCCATGGATGAAACCAGATGGTCTGACCCTGAATACATCTCCATGGTGAATTTGATGCAGGGTGAACTGAACGAAGCTGGCTTTCCAAATTGGGACATGGATTTTTGCGATTTGCCCAGATTTGACATTGCATGACTATGCATGACTTGCCATTTTTGACTGGTTGCTTGCACCACCTGATGTCATTCACGTTTTGAAGTCTACCCACGTCCTGTTTTCTGTCAGCCTGTCTATTTAATCATGTCTTTAAATCACCTGCGCAAAGTAGTTGAGAAAGATCTTCGTGATTCTACCACTGTCCAAAAAGCACAGAAAAGCCAAGCGCAAACCTCCGAACCTAGGCAAAAGCAAATGGTATCCTCGGAAATAGACAGGTATACAACTCATGGACATATACGAGATTTCAATTTAAGTCTTGCCAAACAAGTTGCCTACTTGAAAACGAAAAAACATGCACAAAAACGTGCCCAATTGTAAACCAGTATTGCTGAACAGATTGCCCAAAAAATTAATTCACGCGGGTACCCCCAAGAAAGAACCCCCAAAAATGGCGTACTTTACTGACGGGTGATTTATGAGTACTCCCAGCGAAAATGGCTTACTTTGTTCAATGGAGGGGTACAATACTAATCCTGGTTGGTGGTTTGGAACATTTGTTATTTTGCCATAGATTGGGAATTTCATCATCCCAACTAACGAACTCATATTTTTCAGAGGGGCTGTTTTACCACCAACCAGTAATCCCATGGTGACAGGAACGGAAACCTCATTTTTGGACTTCGCAGGGGATTTATATAATTGACGACAACGGAGATACCCCCAATTAAGGTGGGACTTTCTAGACATGAAAAACCGATAGGTGTGGATTAAACCATATTAAAACCACATTAAACCCTCATAATTATGGTATATGTATAGATACCCTCTGGTAAACAAACATAGCTATTGAAAATGGCCATAGAAATAGCGGGTTTTGCCATTAAACATTGTGATTTTCCATAGTTATGTAAACGTTTACCAGAGGGTAACCATCATATATCCCATTAAATTCCATTAAAATACCATTAAAATACCATGAAATCCCATAAATATATATATATATATATATATTATACATAAAGACTGCTTGTTCTGTGTGGCAGGTCCTCCAAATTACACCTCTCTGTAAGCCGCTGTGGATGACCGGCGAGGAGTATAATGGCTTGCAGGGCCGCGTGCTGGGCCGTGTGTCGGGGTCCCGGTGCTGTGAGAATGGAAGGAAAAACTTGTAGCAGCCACGAGATCATCATGATGAGGAGGAGGATGGTGATGATGATGATGAGGATGATGATGATGATGATGAGGATGATGATGATGATGATGATGGTGATGAGGATAAGGATGATGATGATGAGGATGATGATGATGATGATGTTGATGATGATGATGATGATGATGAGGGGGAGGAGGAGGAAGAGGAGGAGGAGGACGAGGAGGAGGAGGAGGAGGAGGATGAGGATGAGGATGATGATCATAATGATGATGAGGAGGATGGTGATGATGAGGAGGAGGATGATGGTGATGATGAGGAGGAGGATGATGATGGTGATGGTGATGATGATGATGATGATGATCAGGAGGAGGAGGAGGAGGAGGGGGAGGATGATGATGATGATGATGGTGATGATGGTGATGATGATGATGGTGATGATGATGCCGGATATCATGTTGATTATGCTGATGATTAGGAAGGAGGATGTTCCAGCAACCACCTGAAAAAATACATCGAGAGTTGAACCCACGGGGGGTGCTTCAGGTGATTGTTCTCTCGAATTTGGCCTTCAAGCCCGACTTTTTGTGAACGTGGCAAAGCTATTTAAACATACCATTTGCTGTCTATTGTTGTAAAGGAATGTAAAAGACTGTTTGCGGAGCTAGCTACTAATTAGTCATGTGTTTTTTACCATCATAGAACCTACGGTTTACGGTGTGATATCCTATGGCGTCCTATGGAATAAAATCTCTTAAGAGTACCGCATAAAGAAACCATCGTCTACTATTTTTCCTAGTCTTCCTTGGCTTATTGGTTCACTGAAAACTGGACCACCTCAGACTCTGCTGCAAATGCTGATTTGCCGAGAAAAGTGCATTTTTTCCTTCTGATTCTGCCCCCCCAAAAAAACGAATTACACACCATGCTGCCACAATACTCATCATCACCTTTCGATGCTGAGGGCGGCCGATGGAGGTGACGTGAAGCATGGGAGCCCAGTGGGTTCCCAACCGCACCCAGTTGCGGATTGATGATGATAAACTATTGGATGTTGGGTACCCCCATATCGCCATTGGATGTGGAGCTTTATGATTGGTTTGAGCGATAGTATGGTCCCATTTGCGAAGCAAGTACTCAATTTTGTAACGAGGCCTTTGGACGACCGTGAAAGTGAAAGTGGCCCAGAAAAAACAAGTGTAATAGATGTTTTCTGAATGTTTTGTTGGAACTTGTCACTGACACTGATCTTCAGCTGGATGAATTCTTTTTAATTTAAAAGGTGATACGAACAAGCCTTCTTGGGGCATACGCCAGCATGTTGTGCTTTCGCTCGCATGGTTTTGTGGCTGAAGCACCGCGGTTTCGTCCCATGTGTTGGTTAAAATTTGGCTCAATTTCCCAAGACGGAAACCACTCGTCTTGCAAACGACCTATCTTGCTCTGTATTGTCCATATGCCCGAGGCCATGAGCCACCAACGTTTCCTCACAATTCTGTCAGTCCTATGGGCCAGCAGTGCCGCTTTCAAGCTGTTGGACGTTGGAGCCCCTAGAGCTGGAACGCAAACTATGTATGATGCCATGAGAATCCTGGGGTTCAATCCGTTGCACACGGGCGTTTCGAGAGAGATCCGCCCGCCGCTGTGCGATTATTTGTTTGGCAATGGTCGGCTCGAGGATGCTCTGGCAACCTTGGCTGCATTTGATGGCGCCATGGATGAACCTGTCATGCTGATGTATGAAGAGGTCATGGCAGCTTTTCCCGAAACCAAATTTGTGTTGACCATCCGAGACGCTGAAAGCTGGTTTAGCAACTACTTACACGTTGGTCAGATGATGTATTTCAGCGCTGACGTTTCCGGATGGGTCGCAGACACCAATAGTACTGACTACAAGTGCTCTGGCATGCGAGCATGGGGCTGCAATTTTCGAGATCCCTCGGCCGAAGAGAAAGAGACCTGCTTGCAAAACTATGCTCGTCACAATGAGAGGGTGCAAGAAGTGATTCCACCTGAGCGTTTATTGGTCTACAACTGGTCTGATGGATGGGCCCCATTGGCCCATTTTTTGGGCACAGCCATTCCGGAGGAAGAATTTCCACATGAAGATTCCCTGGTATTAGGTGTTACAATACAAGCAGCAGCTTCAGCAGCAGTCGCCTACGGACTTGGATGACTTGATAGGTTGCCTGCCGTCACAAAAAGAATGTTGCGCGGCACTGTGCCATGCAGTGCCCTTTATTTTACGCCGGTGTTGGCTGATGGTTGGGGTTAAGGACGATGATTTGATGATATGATCGTTTGCCATCATTTGCCCGCATAGAAACAATCAGAACAAAGACGAACAAAGTATATCATATACATAATACATGTATATATGCATATACTACTACTGTGCGGGGTGATGATATGTAGCCCAAGAAAGACACCACCATTATGATTTAGAAGCAGCCAAGCATTTCTGAATGGTGTGTTGCCACGCAATTTGGTTTTCATTTGTTCTGGGATCAGATGTTTTTGCAAAATAAATCCCACCAATCCACGAAATTATCCGTGGGCCAGTCTTTTCGAGCACGGGTTTGCAGGTACCGCATGGCACCATCGATTACAATTGCCCGGCTCAATTTTGTCAGACCGAAACCACAGGTCTTGCAGGGTCTTGCAAACGACGCTCCATGTGATCCTTATGCTCTTGCTTGCCATGAGCCTGTCTCGTTTCACACTTGCAATGGTTTCATTACATTTAATTCCTGCCCATGATGCGTTCAAACTGTTGGACGTGGGAGCCCCTCGAACAGGGACACAGTCCCTGCATGATGCCATGGAAATCCTTGGTTTCAACTCCATGCACACAGGTAGCTTTACGCCGATACGTGTTTCGCTTTGCGAGTACTTGTTCGGCAATGGCCCACTGGAAGATGCCATAGCTCTACTGGGTGCCTTTGATGCTGCTATGGATGAACCTGTCATGCTGATGTATGAAGAGGTTATGGCAGCTTTTCCCGAAGCCAAATTTTTGTTGACCCTCTCAGACGCTGAAAGCTGGTTCAACAGCACTGTAGAGCTGGCCCGAACAATGTCCTTCAACCGTGCTGTGATGTCCGTTCCAGATCCACTGGATGAGTTGGACAGAAACTCTTGGAAATTCCTTTGTTCAGGCATGAAATCATGGGGCTGCAACTTTGAGAATTCCTCGGCCGAAGAGAAAGAGACCTGCTTGCAAAACTATGCTCGTCACAATGAGAGGGTGCAAGAAGTGATTCCACCTGAGCGTTTATTGGTCTACAACTGGTCTGATGGATGGGCCCCATTGGCCCATTTTTTGGGCACAGCCATTCCGGAGGAAGAATTTCCACATGAAGATGCTGTGAAGAGCAGAAACGAAGAACGCGAAGTCGAAGCCCTCAGAAGCTTCGGACTGGCTGCAGTGGAGTGATGTCGTCGGAAAAAGGAGGCCGGCAGATCAACCAATCAGTGGTTTCGGTGGGTGATTCCTGGGGCTCACCTAGCTGCAAGTGCAGTTCCAGTGAACTCATAGTGGTTATATTTAATTAGGCAAAATTATAGGGTTTTTATCGCAACTTCTGGGGGGTTCATGACATCTATAGCTTAGAACCCACTTACAACTCATATCCGCATAGTTTACTTATCCCAAGTTATGGCTATTGCTTGTCCCAACTTATAAGTTATGTTTTTTTTACTTATCCCAACTTATGGAGTTTTATAGCCCTTTACTTATAGCTTATTGGTTGTAGCCATGGTTCCCCGAGGCACCGAGTGCAGCTCCAAATTGGAAGCGAGACGAAGGCGGACACTTCGCGGCCTGCTTAATGGGATATGTATAAAATCGTAATGGGATGTTAATGGGATGTTAATGCAAGTACATGATAGTCGTGTTTCATGTTTTTTTTCTCCTTGGGTTATTAATCATTGTTTTTTTCTCCTCCTCAGGTTATTATAAAAGTTGAAGGTTTATCTACTGGATATGCTGAGGGTCTTTGATGGAAAACGATGCTTGATCTTCTAGCGAATATAGGGCCTGCCCTGCCTGGGGCACTTTGGAATTTTCCAAGCCATGGAGAAACGGTCATCCGGGATGATCCCACTGTATTCAACATTCAATTATTTATTTATATATATATATAACTACTACTAACCCCTTGGATGGGTTGAAAACAGCCAGAGTAGGGTTGCAAAATGTATCAAAATGTTTCCAGGGTTCTAGAAGTTTGTCATCTTGGCATGATTGGTGGAGATGCGTGGTTCAAAAGGGAGACCATGTGACCTGGGATTTTAGGACCATTAGCCAAGTTTGCCCAAGAACAATGGAAAAGTAACCTAGGGACTCAAGCGATTGAAAGCAACCTTTTTTTTGTCAAGTCTAATGCGAATACTGGAGTCTTGATTCCCATTGTTATCAGAGGGTTAAAGAAATTGCCCAGATACCATTGACAGCGAATCTACAAGATGCCAAAGTTTACAACTTGTCCAAAGACATTCTTCGGTGGGAAAAAATGGTTGAATCTCTTGGGGGAGCGTGGAGCAACACGTGCGTCAGCTAGCGATTTGCTGAGGGAAGCAAACACAAAGCTGGCGAATTGGCTTATCAGCTTGCAAATCCAATAAATCCGGGTCCTTGTCTTAAAGCAGATCTATCGTTCACTTAACAATCGGCCACATGGTTATCGTTTGTGTTGTTTTGAGCATCCTAGACTGTAGCCATTCTTTTGAATTTTGATGATATCTATATGTTCTGTTTTATGACCAAAAAATGTATGTACACACTATATATGCATAAATATGCTATGTTTATGCAGTTTTATTGGTCTCCCCAACTCTTGTTCTCCAATCCACCCACGGGTTCAACCAGGATGTTCGCAGTTTCGGATAGTTTTCTAAGCATTTTTGGTGCTCTTTGCAGCTTTTCCATCTGTGCTGAAGCCTCTGAGAATGTCACAGCCTGGAAGCTCCGTAGGTGCTGGCCATCCGAGAAAGGAACCTTCGCGACTTGGCAGGAGGATTGGCATTTTTGTTGGGGGCAAGGGTGGTAAAACATCAAAATTGATCGAAGATTCTGTAGAATTGAACATCAAAGACGGATTTCCGAATGTTTTCTGTTTTTTGTTCTTCCTTATTGGAATTCAATCCATTCAAAGACTGCCTTAGATTTGTTGATCAGCTGTTGGGTTTGCATAGATTTACCATGACCGTTCTTCAGATCATTGAAGACCCAATCGTGTTTCATATCTTGGGTAAACCTCCATTTTAGAAAACATTTCCTAAATTCCAAGATGTTGGAAATGTGGTAAGATAAGCTGGGTCAGCTGGGTCAGAGCAGGGGCTTGATGGTCCACCAGTACCCACAGCAGGACTCAGCCGGTCCTTGTCGAAGTTCCGACCAGGGAAAAAAGGTCATGTTGGGTTTTTCACATCAACGCATTTGTTTTTTTTCATGTTTTTTTCCTAAAATGGGGGATCCCCCTGTCAGGTTTCAATGCTAAGCTGCTAAGTCATGGTCGAATTGATGATTTGGGTACCACCATGCCGAAGCCGAAGGTAAGTGCCCGGCCAGCTAAGCTCCAGCTGGCACCTTCAAGGCGTGATGAGAACTCACCCTGAGAACTCACCATGATCTCCAGAAAATCAGTAACAGTATGTAACAGTCAGTATGTGGATTTTTCCTACAATGGGAGTGTACCCCAAATCATCCAAAAGTATCCTGGCAGTCAAAATCACATCACCATATAGTATAACAAATGTATTCTTTTGACAAGGGAGATTTAAGTGATGATAGTGATTTAGCCACGTACCCCTGAAAAAGGATAGGCCAGTCAAATTCTACAAGAGAATAGTATAGAAATTTCAACATGAGTTCCATGTTTTTTGTTGGGGTTACTACATACTTCCGATGAGATACTCAGCTCACCTCATTAGGGTGGCCGTTGTGCCGCCGAAAACCAACAATCACCGGCTCACGGAGCTTGAAAAGATGAGATGGCTGCATCTGGGTATGTCGCTATGTCACCATTAAAAAAGGGAATATCGGTATGTCTGAAAATGGGGTATACCCCCAATTATAGCCATTTAGTAGGGATAATGATCATTAACCATTGGGTGTAGGGGTACACTATTTTCAGACAAACCCATATTATGTTAAGGTATGGTCACTCTGAAGTAGATAGACTGTCGAAATTTCAAAGCGATTCCGGCGATTCCCATGTTCTGATGAAGTATTGAAATTTCCATATTCCATCTACTCCAGGATGACGTACGGGATATAATGATACCTAGTCTGTGTATACAATATGTAGAAACTGTGTATATGATCATATGCATGTGTATAATGGGCATTAGTGTACATGCATATATTCATATCTGTGTGTTTTTTTGGTGTTTAAAGCCAACCAACAATCTAGGGAACTTGTTGGTGACATTGTATAGTGCTCGACCTCACAAATGACAGCACCGTTCACAGGGATTCGACCGATATCAATGGCCATGCAACAGGAACCTAAACTGGAGGTACCTACCATATATAAGGTCTATGTAAGGGCTATGTAAGGGAATATCCGCACAAAATATTGCTTTATATGGTACAGTACCTCCATTTTAGGGTCCTGAAAATCCCACTGATGATATGCCACCCATAAATGGCGAGGGAGACGTAAGCAATAGTCGTCGTTGTTGTCTTATTTCCTGGGCGTCCAGCAATTGGGGATGCATACCCCAAAGCAGCAATTTTGATGCGGCGCTACATGATTATTATAGATAGGATTTGGGGTAGCCGGGTAGCCTCTGACAACTTAACGTAGCTACGGACAATCACCATTTTAGTAGGTAAATCATCATAATTTATCTTTAAATAACCAGATATTAAATATATCTATCATAATTATTTCATAATTTATCTATAATTTATCAATCATCATAATCATCATATATTAAATAACCAGAGAGTAGTGTACCCGATTTTCAGATCACGCTCGGAGCTTTTGAACCTCTTTTTTAGCCGAATTTGCTGGGGAAATTCACCTTAATTAATCATCGAAATTCATCGAACTATATCTGGGTTACTGGTTGGTGGTTTGGAACCATGGAATTTTATGACTTTCCATAGATTGGGAATTTCATCATCACAACTGACGAAGAAAAATATTTTTCAGAGGGGTAGGTTCAACATGGTTCAACCACCAATCAGATATAAATGGGCAATTCTTCATGGCCATTTCTTAAATTACCGCAGGATCTTCATCACTCTTGGTCCACTGGCAGGTGTCATGTTGCCTGTGACCTTCGCTCTGTCTCGGCTCAGAGATGTAGCTGAAAGGTAATGAAACTTTCTCATATGGGGATGTGTCAAAACATTATATATACCAGATATATAAACATATATTATAATAATGTTATTTCTATATGAATGAATAAATAAGAATAATCATAATGATATAATTGTACATATACCATGTTTGGAGTAAAGGTTGGAGGATGAACATCAAACATCAACCAACTATGTTGATGTTCAAGTCCAGGATTTTGACGTTCGCAGCTGCCTTTTGCAGCGTGGAGGTGATTTGCGAATATAATCCCAAGCATCACCGTGGTGATGGCAGTTTTCTGAAACCCAAGCAGACCCATTGAATACCCGCGAAATCAATCATCAAACTTCAAAACAGGCTAAAAACAGCAGGGGGTGTGGCAAAAAAAACATGAACAATGAAGAGCGGAAGGCAGAACACATGGCAGGTTCCGAAAAATCATCGTCCAACTCCAGGTTTTCCTTGGCATGTGAGAAGACGGGCGCCCAAGGACCATGCTATGTCCCCATGGAAGGTGGCTCCACGGTCGCCAGGTGCGGTCCGTGGGTGTCGGGCATGGGAAAATTGATGGTAAATTGCAGAGTTTTGGGGCGATGAATCCATTGGTCATGGTCATGAATCCTCATCAATCCATTTTCATGGGGATGTTCAAGCCATGATGTTGGAAATTGATGGAAATTGCTGATGTAAGGTGGGGTGACCATGTCGAACATACCACGTTTTGACCATGGGCACCGTGTGTTTGAATGTGGCAAAGTTAAACAGATGTGTTCATATTTGTTCAATATAACCGGTATAATTACGAGATGGTAGCGTTGCAAGACATATCCAAAAATTTCCAAAATGGGGCTGATCAGGTTCTCCCAAACCACGGATGCGAATGGTTTTCCTGTGAGAATTCCTATCCAAAAGGTAAATTCATGCCAGCTTAGATCACTGGAGTGTTTTCCCAATTAAAGCGGAGTTTGTTCAGTTATGGCCATTTATCAGTTAGAAGTACTAACAAGTCACCCCATGTATAGAATGTTTGTCATCCCATTGAAATCACCAATTATAACTGGTAGCCATGGCCATAACTGTTCAAGCCGACATCACTGCTTGTGTCGCTCAAACTCGGCAGTTTTCACTGGGATCATCGAATGGGTGGATGCTCCGGCAAAGCATGTTTGACACAGGAGGGTACAAGATGGGGCCCCCAAGATAGCTAAGTTGCCTTATAAGTGGCTTAACTATGGTTTATGGTAGGTATAGCTATAGTTACTTGGGGTTATAATGGTTTATAAACCAACTTATAAGTGGGGGGCCCCACCCTGTAGGTCTACAAATCAACCAGCCCAAATCAGCCCAAATTGTCCGCCCCGAGGGCCCGCCTGGCAGCTCTGCTAGCGTTTTTGCTCGCAGGCGCATGATGGGGTCCTGCAGGGCAACCATCAGACGTTGGTACCCTCTGGTAATTTGTTACATAGCGGATTACCCATTAAAACTGGTGATTTTCCATAGTTCTGTTAGTTTACCAGAGAGTAAAGACAATCAAACATGTTGGTATATTGTGTGTATAAATCATCAAAACTTGGGACGACAATAGTGAAACATACACCTGGAATCGCAGGAGTTGCAAAAACCATCAAATACATGGGCTGAATCTTCGGGATAGCAGTGGAGAGAGGGGGGTTAATTCATTGCTGTTTGAGAAGAAGGATACCCTCTGGTGAACTAACATAGCAATGGAAAATCACCATTTTTAATGGGAAAATCCACTATAAATGGCCATTTTCCATTGCTATGTTAATTTACCAGAGGGTACATGTTTTTTGCCTGTTCCGAGGTATTGTTACCAGATGGTCAATTATATCAAGTCACGGGATGCCTCCAAAACCGTTCGTGCCTGGTGGAGTCCGGCTTGAGGGTAAAACTTACACACGGAAAGCCACGAAATTGACAATTGAAAATGAAATGCATTGAAATGCCCTGTTTCTTTTAGAGCCCAGACACACTCAACAGTGAATTGTATTACTAGCAGTCAAGACTTTCGTAGATAGTCTGACGTAGGTTTATGCACACGCTGCGTTTGGGCTCAAAGTCCTTTTGGTTCCCCCCCCTCGCCTCGTGGGGCTGGTTGGGGGGGGTTTGCTCCCTGCGGGGAAGACGTGATGGCAGGTCCCTGGGTGTACTTAGCAGACAACCCGGAGTACTACAGGGACCTGTCATTTGACAAGGGTGAGTTGGTGGAGTGCCACCTTTATGACGATGGAGGAGGAGCCCAAGGCTTTGGGCTTTGGGATATCAGAGAGCAGCTGGAAAAGGCGAAATCTGGTTTGTGGGTCAAGGCGAGGCTGATCGCCGTCAGCGATGCGCACCTCAAGTGGTGGTTGACGTCAGGACCGGGGTCTCGTGAAAAGAGACGGTTCCCCTTGCACTTCTGTGCCGGTCCGTTGGCGTCTTGCAAAAAGAAGCTGCAAGACCCGACCTTCGAGTTCCACACGGACTTCTTCCGTAAAGTGGTGGCTGGGAGTATCACCGACAAAAAGATCGGGTGGTTCAAGGATGAAAGCGCCAAGGATGATATCGCAGCGGAGGTGTCGCGCCTTGCTGGGATTGCAACCCCCCGCGGGGGAGTAGGTGCCACCGCGAAAAAGACTCCTTTGAACTTCTCCGACTCTGAGAACCCTCCGAGCGAGGTGGCCCTGGGTGTGACCCCGCCGGCAGGCGAGAATGTGGAGGCTCGTCTCGTGGACCTCCGTCAGTCACTTGGCAAAGTGAAAGCCAAGGACAAGAAGGACAAAAAGGCCAAGAAGGCCAAGGAGGCCAAAAGGCCGAAGTCCGCGGACGACAAGAAGAAGCCCGCTGCGGCGGAGGACGCACCGCTATGGTTTGGTAAGAGAAAACCAGGTGGTGCAGAAGCTGGGTCTCGAAGCACCAGCTCCTCTTCTGAGTCGTCCGCCCGTGGTCACCCTCGGGACAAGGGTCGGCGGAGCAAGAAAGAAGGCAGAGCACATAGGGCCAGAAAATCCCGACGCGTCGGTGACAGAGGACCCTTTGGGACTGGAACCAAGGTTCATTTTGAAAAAGAGAGTGGCTCGTCATTCAGTTCTGAAGGCGAAGCGGGCGACGGACAAGTTTTTCAGGCGGCCCCCTCCAGCAAATCGAAACACCTGCAACTACTCGAGTACGCCCAAAAGAACCCGGGGCGTCTAGCAAGCAGGTTGTTATCGAAGATGCGCACGTTGCTGGCCAGAGAGGAGGGGGCCTTGAACGCCGAGGCCAGCCAAGCCAACTTGACCCCCGCTACCGCGACGAGCTACTTCCTGACAGTACTCATCCCGCTTCATCGGGATCGCCTGAATCTACGAGTACAGCGGGAGTTGCGCACCATTGCGCGAGCTCTGGATCTGGTGGCGATGGGGACGCCGGAGAGAGCGGCGGATGTGCTAGCGCAGCGCATGAAGGCGCTCGAAATGATGATCGCCGACCAGAGCTGGGCGAGGGCAGCCCATATCGAGCTCCTTCCGCCCGAGGGCGCGACGCTCGTCGAACCCGACGAAAGCTGGGTAGCGACAAACCTGGGGAGCCCATTGATCGCCCAAATCGTGATCGATGATCGTTCAGCCCATTGGCCGTGAAAACCGGGTATGGCCGTGAAAACGGATATGGCCGTGAAAATGCCACATCTATCCGTGAAAATCGTTTTATAGATTCGTGTCAGGCATATTTGAAGGAAAGCTGATGCTTTTCACGAAATCAACAACTTGAGCCTTTATGGTAAGATCACGCAGTCAACGGCTGTGACAACCAGGCCGTCAGGCCTCGTTCCTATAGGCTATCCCTTTTCTTTAAACTCTCTCTCTCTCTCTTGAAAACTTCCGTGCCCCGGCTTGCGAGGGCTCTACTGGTATTTAAATATATGTTTATCTTTATTTAGCATGAACCCTTGTATAAAAATGTTCGGATACATATATCATGTACAGATATATCCAATCCCAGGGGTGTAAGGTTTAGTATGTGAACTTCGGTTTTTTGCACAGCCGGTGACCGTGCGTTTGCCGCTTCTCGCCCGTGCAGCGGGCCCGGTAGGAATGGTTTTTGATTTGGGGATAAAAAACATTCCATGAAAAAAATCATTTGAACTGTACCACTGCAAATGTTTAGATGCATTATTTTTCAATTCAATGTGTCACACTGAACATATAGGGATGAACAAACACAATTGTCCTAGGCTTCCCTAATGTCTCAAAATTTTCAACCTAGTTACTTTGTCAAACGAATCTTTTGGTTGCGCCTCGCGCTCCCACACCCGCGTGTGAACGGCACCGGCAGCAATGGCTTTTGTTCTCAAAGTTGTCCCTCGATGAGGCCTCTATTGGTTTGAAGTGCAGAGGGCATCTTTTCATTTCAAGTCTCTAAGTGGTCACGCCCCAGACAGCCATTAAAACACGTGTTCTTACACTTTAGGCTGCGGAATTCACGGCGTATAAATAAAGGGCCACAAGTCGTAATCTGAAAAATAAGCGTGTCTGCAGGCTTGGGCTACATATGTCCTCTGCTCTTCACCGCGTGGATGGCAAATCTGGCGAGTTTGGGTGAGACATCTTGCACATGCTCGGTTCTGGTGTATGTGTACAAAAATATATAGAGCGAAATAGATATGGTCCACCAATAACTAAATAGATTTGGCGTATATATATATATATATATTCTGTATGTATTATATGTGCACAACTATGGATTTACATAGTTAAATTTTTACATGGGCAAAAAACACAGGTAGAGTACATAAGTAAAACCCATTACATAAAAAGACAAATCTGATATTTACAGCAAAATATTTACCAGTTAATATATATATATATATAAGTGTGCGTGTGTGTCTATCCACAATCTTTATTCACATGCTATTGCTATATATATATATATAGGCATATATGTATATGTATGGCTATGTACTTGTATATTTACCCTCACACCTGAGGCCCGTCCGATCTGCTCAGACAAAAAATCCAGCTCACAGCCTGCCAGGCTCAATTCAGTCACATCAAGAGTGCGATACCCCGCTGGCCGTGCTGTGGGGTGATTGCAGGGTTGGAGCACTAATCCATTCATGCGGTTTTAAAACCCTGGTTTCATGATCTCCATTTATTAGGAATTTCGTGTTTTACAGAGATAAGAAACTCCTCAAAGACAAACTGATAATTTTGTTGTTTGATTCTAAGCATTTGGCTCTGGGAACACTTGGTTGCAAATCTGTGCCATATTTTGCCATGGACATACGGGACTCGGAATCTTCCGGCAGTAGTGATTCATCGGAAGAGGACATCTCCTCGCCAGAACCTTTGATTGCTGCCTTTCAAAAGGTAGAGCATCTTAAGAATGTTTCTAGCCAGAATTCGTTTTTTTTTGAGGGAAAAAATCAAATCTATTTGATTCTATTTGTATCGAACAAGTGATTCCAACAATTTTCCCAACACCGCTAAGGTTGGGATGTCGCTGTTGCATGATCATAGCGGGAAGCTGTTCGGCAAAAAGAAACCGACGATAAGAGACATCATCATCAACCAGCAGGTGGGGTTGACATTTTGAAACATATACCTTTATTGTGTCTTTCATGTTTTCAATCCACTTATTGTTGCTGGAAAAATCTCAAACCTGAACCTAGTAGACGCTGTAGGTGGTGCTTGCTGCAATTGAAGGATATGAGGGGAAAGCACGATTATCGGTGTACACCATCCAGAAAGCCATCCTGATGTTTTATACCAGGGCCCGACTATATCCCAGTGGCATTGTTGAAGAACATCCTGCAGTACAAGACTGGTCGCTAAAGTATGCCATTGCACTGTCGCGTTTGGTATCCATTCTAAATGCCACATTTTATTTCAACCACAAAAACAGTTTTTGGTTAGTCTATGGTTTGCCCAGAAAGGGATATTTATTTTACCTAAGGTATCAAGGCTTTGCCGTTTGATGAAACGCTCTCCCACTTCTAAGTACAAGAAGTTGACGGATATCAAGGCAGGAGCTCGCCTTCGGGGTTGGAATTTTGTTCCCGGTTCCAAATCTGAGGGCAGAGGTGTAGCTTGGTTTGCTTTCAGAATCACTGTCCAATTCCCCCATTCATGTTCCCTGATTTGGATATATAATATGTTTAGTGAACACCATGGGTCTGTTCAGATAAACCTTGGATTTTCTTAAAGTTATTTATATGTGAAAGCTATATACTAAATATTATATGGTGACCCCCTCACAGCTACATCAATTAGAACGGATCACGTTCGTGCTTGCCCAAGGTCAAGGGAAAGACCGGACGTGGCGACGCCGATGGCCTTCTTCAGCTGTCTTCGTCCTGCTCCACTTCCACAGGGCCTGGGAGTGAGATCAGCAGTGTTGTCTCTTCGTCCGGGTCATCGTCAGGTGGCAAGTTGGGGAGAATCGTGGAACAGCTAGAGAAAATCAAGATGGGTGTCGGTGTTGGTGAAAAAATGGGATCGTGCCAATCGAAAGGTCAAAAGGATGCAGTTGGTGTGAAAGTTCCCCAGGGTGGGATGGATGGGCATGGTGTCCGTCAAGACCCTGATGGTTCGGTTCCCAATCAACCTGAAGTGCCAGTACTACCACCGCCCAAAGCTGACCCGGAAAAGGTGAATGCTGTTCTTCAAAGGTTGAAAGGGATGAGCATGCCAAAACCGGATGAGACAAAGATGGACAAACCAAAGAATCCTCATACAATTCCCCCTTTCGTTCCCTGGTGATCAAAAAACATCGAAACGTTTGCCTGGTAGTGTTTTCTTGTGGCTAGTAAACATGTGCAATATTTTGCAGGTATTTTCCACTTATGTTTCTTTATGCATATCAAGTATATATTGCGTGTTTATATTTTGGGTGTTAGACCTCTTAGGGTACATATGCATTTGCCTATATAAATATCTAAATATGAATACGGATTGTATAATATCTGTTTAATGCAATTCCCAACAGCTCAGGTTTTGGCAAATCTAGCTGGTGCAACTACGCAGGTGGAGCCTTTTCCCATCCACGCCCAGTATGTGAAATCCATTTGCCACAAGCGTGCTGAGGCAGATGACAAAGATTCGGACGATGATGGCGATGATGTTGGTGCCAAACCTGGTGCCAAAGCGGAATCTGCTCAGAGGGTTGGTTCTGGAGCTGGGCCTGAGGGTCCAGACGCTGGGGGTTTGAAGGCCAAGAAAAACAAATCTGATTGGGATTACAAGAACATCCGTGATGCATTCATCAAACAGAAAAAGAACGAGGGCTACACATATGCCAAGGCGAAGGATTTGTGGGATCAGTCAAATGAAAAGGCATCCTACTTAGGTGCTGCTTCTGTACAGGAACTGAAAAAAAGAAGGTTTCTTTCAAAGGGGGCCACCATCAACCCTTGGGCGAAAAAGCCGGAGGGTGGCCACTGATGCAACCAAGACATTCATGTCTTAGGAAATATTCTGGACCCTAGGTGGGGGAACGCCTGGGCTAAGAGCGCTTTGGATCGAAACAAGATTTGACTAGCTGCTGATTTTTGCTATATGTTGGTATCATTTGCACCATCAACCATTACCTGTGCCTGTCGCAGCATCCCGAGTGTATATGTAAAGAAACTGCATTTCTTCCTTACTGTCAACTGAAGCTTGGGCCCAGTGTAAGTAGCTATAGCCTATAGCACCCCTTGTTGCAGAAAGACTCCGCCAGCCCCATGGTTGTCTTTGGCCTACTTCAGTGGCGGGCACCACCAATCTTAATTTTGGTATGCCTTTTGGTTCAATGGCAGAGCCAGCTCAACCACAGAGTTGAATTTCGGTTGATTAAGAATTTTTGTTTGTACTAAACCTTTTGTCGTTGTTTTAGGTAAACACAGGGAACATCGGGGTTGGGACTATCAGAGACTTTCAAAAACCAAGGACCGTCAATTCTTGGAAGTATTTTCCGGACATGCAGCAATCACAAGAGCCTTACGCTCAGCTCCCTGGATTAGATGGATTGGGTTCAAACAGGGCTCCCCAATTCACAACCGCTTGCCTCCAAGGGTTTCCAAACACATAGCTCCCGACATGCTCCCGAGGCTGGCCTTCGTGGTGCGGCCATAGATGTGGTTGATTGCCCAGTGTGGGATTTGGTGACCCCTGCAGCCTTTGCGTCTCTAGGTGGGATTCAGTGATAAGAAAACACAATAGAATAGAACGTACACATACACACACACACACGCACACACACACGCACACACACACATATATATATAATAAATATCATATATATATATATTACCTATATTTATTGGCCAGTGAAATGTGGTTCTCTAAGCAAACCTCGGTGTCTTGAGCTGGGTTGCCACTATCCCAGGTTAGCTTTGAGCGAGATCATGAGATGCGTGAAAGGTTCACTGGTAGTTCTTGCTCCAGTCTGTAAGAGCTACAGCCCAACGATGCTAGATTGCAGAAACAATCTGTTTTCTATGGTTTTACTTTTACCAAAAATGTTTGCCAACCAAAAGCAGGTAAATAATTAAATAGATTTGGGAACTGTGATTGCCTGATATATCTAAGGTGTCGTTTTACGTCGGGTCGATGCTGCTTCATTCCCTATGGCTACGAGGGGTTGGATTTCGTGACACTGGGAAACATACTCGGTTGCCGAACCATTTTGATGTGCGTCGTTGCATCTTTCATGGGCCTCCGCTGGCTTTTGGAACAACCAAGTGAATCAAACCTTGAAGATTTGCCGGAGTTTCAATTCCTACTGACTATCGTCCAAGCTGCTTTGTTGAAATTCGCATTTGGTTTTTCTGATATCAGTAGTGGGCGTTCGTTCCCCCCAACAGATTTTTTTATTGGATGTGTTTATTCCCTTGGGTCAACTTAGAAAGGTACCCCTTAGGTCATGAGCAATGGAAAGATAATTCTATGTTCTATTTGGGGCCATGCGAGAATGATTCTGAGGTCTTCTCCGGGAGGTTTTACATGGGGATCTTTGGAGCCAACACACCAAAGCGTCATGTCCTTTATTCCAATGATGAGGAGTTGTTGAACCAGATCCTAGCTAAAGCTGGCTACATGAGTCGCGAAGCACAACAACAATGCCCTGGTGCTACTACTATCAAATATGTAGATAAACGGGGGGTCAAGCGCTGTACTGGCATCAAGCAAGCACTGCGGGACTCACAGCGCCTTGTCGTCGACATGGCAATTTTCATTCTGGGGTTTGGCCTTGGCGCCAGTCAGGGGTGCAATGGGGATAACCACATGGGTGCAATTTCCAAAGGTGCCCTTCAAAGAAGATATATGGTAGATGACCCTGCTATGGTAGGTAAACCTTGCCAAACCACATCCAGTCACATCCATTGATTGTGCCCACATGTTTTTGGCATCCCCTGCAAATGAAATTTTCAACCCTGGGCCTTTGCATAACTAGCTGCAATCATGTGGTCACATGCTCCACTGACTTATATATACCAACCCCAAAAACTAGAATCGGTGAGGTTGTGTGGGGATTCAATATCAGCTATATATGCCACTTCATCATCACATGCTTGTGATTTGAAGATAAAAACGATGAGTTGCATATATTATGTGCCCACTGGGCCCAAGTTTTCCTTTTGGTTTGTTAATTCTAGTGGTCCAAATTTGGTTCTGGTCAGGACGAAAGCGTTGCCCCTGCTAAGGCACTACACGCGCGAGTTTGGCGAGTTCATTGCTGATTTGGCTACAACAAGGATGTCTGTGGCTAGACTAGGTACGAAAAAGCGTATCCCTATTTTTGGGGTTTCATCCCAAGGGGATTGCCAATTTTGGCGTTTTAGCAGTTGGGTTTCTCCATCAATTTTGTTTTGGCTATACCTGCGGCCACAAACGTTAGGAACCTTTACCGGGACCAAAGCAGCCATTGAGTTTACCCACTGGGCTTTCAGACCGTGAACTCTTCGCCCATTACTGCCTTCCACTGCACCATCACGACTTATGGGAAAAGGCGCCTGGGGATCAAATAGCCAAAGTTTTCTTCAAATTTGAGGAGGGTTACCATTCACCATTCATTCTGTATCCAAAGTCTATATGCGACTAATCATTTGGGTTTTGCAGTTCTCCCCAACCAACAACATCAAATCTTTCATCCTTTTCACCAAAAACGATTTTATTGACATCTATGTCTATGACTGTTCAATTCTACTTGATGATTGCTTATATGTTCCTGTAGAATCTTTTCCCGGACAGACTGTGAATTTCACGCTCTGGGGTCACGTCTAGCCTGCCGCCAGGCACGGATGATGGAAGTGGTGGCCTACCTCGGCCGGTCGAAGTATTTGGCAGTCCCGGATGCGTGGGCCGCTCTGTCTATCTCGCATCGACAACTAGGTTTTTTAAAAGATCAACGAATTCACACACCAACTAAAGTTTTAGTAGTTTGACCAGCATGCATTTAAACTGGTTACGGTTAGGTAAGCGAACGTTGTTGTACATCGGTTGCTCTCTGTTTACCTTTGCATTCTGCCAAATACCGTTTCAGGGAATCCCAAATAGCATCCTGATACCTATCCAGCCACATCATTCCCGAGGAAGATGTCTTGACAGAAATTTCGTCATCGTGGCCATCGTCCCAACCTTCCCAGTGAAGCTTTTGGGGTGTGCATGTGGCCAACGGCTACATGATAGAACAACATGGGTTTTTCTTGGCAGGTGTGAAGCCAAGGTATCAAATTCATCTACTGGTTGACATATGTGCCCTGTGAAACAACCCAAGCGTGAAAACATGAAAATTCGGTACAGCTACCCAAATTCCCAAAAAAATGTGAAATTTGTATTGGGGCACACGTGTCTAAAAATCCTCTACCGTGAAAAAGCGTGCTATTGGACGTGAAAAAACGCTGAATGGCCGTGATTTTTCGTGAAAAACGTGAAAACATTTTTTGGGTTTTTTTGAGAAAATATTGCATTTGGAGCCATCTGAAACATGATGTTCACACTTCAAATCATGTCAACATATTTTCATCTCGATGTGAATTGTGTTCGAGATTGTTGTCGCTGTTCCGCGTGGTGTTCCCGTGGTTTTTTAACCATGGCCAAAAAATCCAAGAAAGAGGACCGCAAGTCCAAAAAGGAAGTTAAGTCAACCAGAAAGGTCGAGAAGGCGACCAAAGCAGTTAAGTCTGTCCCGCCGCCGCCTGTTGAAGAGGCGACCCCCCATGCCAAGCCGGACCCAAAGGAGAAAGACATTGACTTCGAGATCAATTGGGAGAACTTCGAGAAGGTCAAAGCACACTTTAACTTAAACGATGCAGAATGTCAAGAGGTATTGGTGGCTACATGTGGCCCAAACAAGCAGGCCGAGAAGTACTGGGACCAGTTCAAGAAGTCCCCAAGCCCACCAAGCGCATCTGCAAGTGCAGCTGCCCCAGCCCGCGCCACAGAGACCAAGCCCGCAGAGTACAAGTCCGCCCAGCCTCCTGCCCCTCCGAATTCTGTGGAGCCGCCTGCTGAGCCACCCGTGAAGAAACTTCGGGTGAGCGAAGCTGTTGACACTTTGGATTCCCAGCCCCAGGATTGGGAAGAGTGGATGTCTCCAGACACAGAGGAAGATGGGGACGAGTCTATCTCCGAGGTTGCCCAGTCCAAGACCAGTGATGATAGCCCCGATGCACCCAGCCCTGCAGCAGCTGCTGTCGTGGAAGAGAGCCCAGAGGTAGTGTGCACAGCCCAGAAGCCTGATGGCGAACTTCCCAGAGAAGAGATTCCGGTTGAAGACGATCTCGTCAAAGAGTTGGAGAAGGAGTTTGAGTTGCAGTGCAAGAAGGAGATCCTCCCCGTTCCGACCCACCCAGCGAAGAAGAAGGTGCGGTGTGTAAATTTCAAACCTTCGAACTTTCAAAACCCATCTTTTTGACAAAAAAAATGTTGTTTAAGGAAATATGTAGGTTTTAGATTACCCGTGATCTTCTACCCTATGAAGGTTATTGCCATGCCTCCACCGCCTCCACCAACCTTTGAACGAGCTGAGTTCCTGTGCTTTTTGTCAGCACCTTTTGGTATTTCCCAAGCCATAGGATGTGGGGTTCAACTCTATGTCAAGATTTCTTTTTACTACAATGTTGAGATCCAGGTCGTTGGAAACTCTTTTCATGGGAGCCGAGAATCTTTCGGGACAAGCTTCGCAAGTCATGGGTGGGGAGCCCGCTTCTCCTGGTTCAACGTCCCTCACATGGACATATCAACAGTCAACATTAGTCAACATTTCTATTTTGATGATTTTTGAACCCCCTCAATCAACTTTTTAATTTTCAACACTATTTTGCAAAAAAATCTAGGCTGGGCCCTTCAGCGTCGCAATTGCCTGCCAACGATGACAAGATTTCTGATTTTGTGAAAGCGTTCACTTTTTTGCAGACTGCTATGAAGGAGGATTGGGCCAAACAATTGATGACAACTTTGGGTTCAAAGGATGAGGTGGGGGTGAGCGAACCAAAGGATGAGGTGGAGAAGGCAAGACATGGTTTGCCATCATCTTCAAGACCTACGGCCTCCGCCCCCAAGCCTGTTGAACCTGCCAAGCCTGTGCCTTCGCCTGCAGTTGAGCCCACCCCGGCATCAACTCCGGCATCAGCTCCGCCCGCAACTCCAGCATCAGCCCCGGCCGCAACTCCAGCATCAGCTCCGGCAGCAACTCCGGCAGCAACTCCGGCATCAACCCAAGCAGCAGATCCTTCAAGAGCTACGTGTACAGCACCCACTGCAGAGAAGCCGACCCCAATCCCAGCGACCAAGGAGGAGTCGGAGGAGGAGAATGAAGTTCCTGACAAGAGCCCTTCTACCAAGATTGTCCCTGCTGAGGTGAACAGTTCGACCCATCGGGCGGAATATGCCCGTTTGTCGCGGAAGATGGTGGCTTTGGGGGATGATTTTCCCAACGCTTCGAAGTTGTGGAATGGCTCTAGGAAGGACGGTTCACATCCATATCCTTGATTTCATGTTCCAAATGATTTTGTTTTTCAGAGAAAAATTCAAGGGATATACATACAGTTGTTTATGCTACACCACTGTTCAACAATGTCTGTTTATCTCTACACGGGTTACAGGGGGTATCACACGAGACAGGACAAGCAAGAGCTATTGGCCCAATGGATCCGCTGTGGTGAGAACATCAAGGTGATGGAAACCACCCTTGTGATTCAGCGCAGCCAGCAGGGAGAATTGACCCGGGGACGCGAGCTGTTAACCATAGCTGAAATGCAATCTCGTGGTTTTCCAAGACACCCGCTAATACAATTTAAAAGAAACATTTTTATCTTGATGAGGGTTCAAACATAATATGTATACGTTCAACCAACAACTGACGACTATAATTTTTGTAAAGCTGGTGTAAATTAGTCGCGTTGATTTTTTGATTCGTTTCTGTCCCTTGTCTATATTTCTTGGTTGGGTCTCCCTTTCTCAGGAGCAAAATCGAGGCGTTGATCAAGAAAGGAGGAGAGCCTGACCCAGATTGCCCAGAGGACGTTGCTTCGATGCGCTTTTGGGCGACCACTGGAGCATCCTACCAGGACAAGGAATGTTCTCGGGTTGCCATGGAAGCCCAGGCCGGCATCAATGCTGGTCCAGACACTTTGGCTAGCATGGTGGGACCCGTGGGGTGTGGTGGCATGGAGATGGCACCGGCTGCTGCGCTTCCTGCTGGTGCTGGTGGTCCTAGTTTGGAGGCATTGGTGGGGGTGATGAACACCGGCGCTGCTGCTGCAGCTCCGGGTGTGTCCGCCCCAGCAGCAAAACCCAAACCGAAACCCAAGCCCAAGGCAAACCCAAAGGATCCTAAGACTCCTGACGATTGGCGTGCTGCTGCTCGTATCTAGGATTTGTTTTTGTTTGTTTCCATTTTGTATATTTCCATCCAACAACACCGTTTATTCAATATTTACTTTTTGTATACCCCATCCATCTCATGTAGTCCACAGTCTACCATCTTAGGCAACCAGTGCAAGCGAGAGATCACCGCATGCACCACTCTTGCTATGGAGTTGCCCCCAGCGAACCCACTGCGTGACACTCTTGTGAAGCTCAAGGAATCGTTTGAAGCCCTGTTGGATGAGCCCCTTGAGTTAACAACCACAAATTTTGCTTGATTTGAATGGTCCACACCAAAAAATATCTGGTTGGTGCATCAAATAAAAAACCTTATATGTATAATAGCACACATAAGTATACTACACACCATCTATTCGATTGATATGCCACTGCCACCATATATTCTCCCAACATCCAAGGCTTCGGGATGTGAGCGACGATGATCTTGAAGATTTCTTTTCCAAGTGCTCCAGCAAGGTGGGATGGAGTAAATGGGGTTTACTTGAACTCTATGTGGTTTGCCCGGGATCCATCTCCAACATGTTTTCTATATGTCTGTAAATTTCAGGTGGATATGGAATTCTCCTCCTATAGAAATAGAACGATGGTTTTTTCAAAAGCCCTGCCCGCAGGTTGGCGAGACCCGTCTGGTCCGAGCACAGGCTCGGGCAGTCGTGAGTGAGTTGAAGAAGGCTGCCAGCTCGGACACCGCCTCGGCCAAGTGAGGGCCGGCTTGTGATCTTGGGTCACACAAAATTTTGAGATCATAAAAGCGTAGATAGGCGCATGATGCTATAGGTATATGTTTGGGTCAATGGATGGGGTTGTGGTGTCCCAACTAGAAAAATATTTTGTCCCAACAGTGCAAAACTTAAAATACAGAGTGTTGCGCGGGTGCCATTATGAGGCCATTGCCCATACTGTAGCTGCGCCGGGATTTGCACAGGTGATTCAACCGAGGCGAAAATAGAGTTGCCTCCTGCTTATATCGACGTTTCTCAAGTTAAAAATTGTCTGTTTCTAGTTTGGGAGTTCCCCAACAATATCGCATTATAGATTCATTTGCGCCCCCTTGATTTGATATTTGGTGATTGTCAAATTCAAGATAGTACGGGCCCCACGCAGGTTCATGGCAGCAACACTCCGAGCAAAGGCTTCAAGAACAATTAGATGAGGCGTCCCCTACTTAGCGTTGGTTTTGTGTAAGACGACCCATTTTCCACCAAGACTATAGAATTTTTTTTGGCCCCATACAGCGCCCGGGCCAAGGCTGGCTGCAACTATTGGGTGTGGCTATGCGAGTGTCAACCATTCCCGAAAAATTGCTGCAGTCTATGACTCGGAGTTTATTTCGTACCTAGCCTGAAATAATGAACAGCTCAACTAGCCCCTGTCAAATTCAACCCGTTGGTTTGGGAGATGAGCTTAGGTCTGGCCGAGAACGTGGTTTGTTCGAACGTGGTATTTCCAAGGGGTTAGCCCTTCCAGTCAGCATATCCTATGCCGATGTGCCAATGAAAAACCCGGATACTGGTGAACTCGAACTGGTCCAATGGCCATATTTGGCACCACACAATTTTGCATCTTGGCTTAAAATTTGTCGAAACAATAATGGTTTGATTGGAGGCCCAACTCTTTGATGCGTAAATCCTATCCACCATGCCCACCGATTCTATCCACTGCGGCGTGGAAACCAGGTGTCCACGCTGATCTCTGAAGGTTTCCTGGACTCCTTGGTCGGCGATTTTTCGGGTTTGGAGAAGTACTGGCAAGGTATGGTGGGAGATTTCCCACAACATCCTGTGGCTAACAAAAGCTATCAGAGCTGCGTGGGATGTACACTGTATGGTGCCTCCAATTCGCTTAGCATTTTTTTCACGGCTATTGCCTTTGACCATGATCCCTTTTCGGTGAATAAACATTTCTCGGGGACAGCACCTTCGTTGGTATAAGGCGACGAAATCGACAGCTTGAATGACAGCTGGCTATTCTTGTTGTGGAGCAGCGATATGTGTCCTTATCGAACAGATTCAGTTAGCTCACGCTTTCCGATTGCAATACTACCAGCATCGCTCTATTGGATAAATTCCAATGGGGTGAATCTCACCATTCAGGCGATGTGCAAGGAAATCACTTCTTCCTTCAACAAATTGTCGGTGGAGGGACTCAAAATTCGAAACCTCCGATCACTTGGTGGTGGAAATGTTGCTTGACATTTTTCAAGATTGTTTGTTGAAAAGGCCGCTGTAAAATCTAAATCCACTGATTGCCAATAATGGATGCCCGATGCGTATGTCAGGTTGCCAAGCTCTTCTTCTTCATAATGGGGTTTCGCGGCGATTGGAAAGCCATGCGGCAGATATTTAGCCTCTGCAGGCATTACAATACGAACCAGGAGCGGGTTATTGAAAACAATGGCAGTTCAGGTCAGTTGGTTTTATATTTACATATATACATACATCAGTATTTAACAGCTGGAATGCTGACAGGTTTGTTCTTCCATTTTTGGGGGGCGAGCTTTGAGCAAATAAATAAATAATGATATATATATATATATATATATAGCTAGATAAATACATCATTCTGGGAACGATGTTTTACATATTACAAAGAAAGATCCCCTCGTGTCATATATTTGTTTGCATTATATATGTTTTAATTGGGGTCAAAACACCTGATCCCAGAGATCAGCTTCCCTGTCTCTTCCATCCAGGTCTGCTGGCTCTGCGAAGCCACGAAAGGCGGAGAAGATGACATGCATATGGCCTTCACAGACAGGCGCCCAGAGGCAGCTTGGAGAGCCACATATTTGAGATCCCTTCCCTGGGTGGAACGTCCATGGTTTGCAGATCTGGTGGGATTCGAGCTAGCAATGGTGATGGGAGATTTACTGCATATTTTCAATCTTGGTACAGCCAAAAACGTTGCCGCATGTGTCTTGAAAATCATTTTACAAGATACCAAAATCTTCACTTCCGGGACCATCGAAGAAAGGATGGCAGCTGCAACAGATTCACTGAAACAATTTGCGAAACAGAACAAATATCAACTTCGGTTGAAGAAGCTGAGCAAAAGTAAGATCAAGTGGCAGAGCAAAAAGTACCCTGAACTTGGCTCCTCTGGGTCGGATTGCCATGTTGTGCTAGCTTGGCTAGAAACGCTACTTCTGGAATATTCTCTTGACTGCTATCGGGACATCACAGTTTTGGTTTGGAGTGGCAATCAATGCATGAAAATATTATACGCTGGAGGATGGTTTCTTGAATCTGGAGAACAACAATCAGTGCGCTTTCTCGGTGCCACCTACATCAACACCTACTTGAAATTGGCCAGTGAAGCCATATCAAACCGACGTTTTCTGTGGAAAGTGTTGCCGAAGATGCACATATTAGATCACACAACGGATTCACCTCGAAAAGTTAACCCAGCCTACTATAGCACGTGGATGGATGAAGACTTTTTGAAGAAGGCAGCAAAGGTACTTCGTTTGACAAACGTCAAAACGGCCCAGAAAAGAATTTTACAGAGATGGCTTTTGGCAACGCCAGCCAATCTGTTGAAAAACAGGAACAACCTGCACTAGGTTTCCGAACCTTTCAGGCTGCCATGCCCAAACGCGACCGATCGGCGGGAGTTAAAAAATGGTTGCACGTTCAAGCGTTGGATCTGCAATTTTCCCATTTTATGAATACCCAATAGTATTTCATTTTTGTTGATGGCTTATACCTACTCTGTTTTTTTGCTTGCTACTACGCATTCCTGGGCGCGGCGGAAGGGTCCATAGGGCACCCAAAAATGTTTGGTGGATGTTTGGTGGCCAGCAACCACACATAGATGCTTCCCAAAGTATCCTTTCCTCAAAAAATGAACCATTTTGAGGGTTAGGATTGAATCAATTTGTGTTTCCCAAAATAGGGTACGATCGCCCCCAAAAAAATGATCGGTTCTTGACATATTTTTTTTTCACCCAGGTAGAAAGACAGATATCAAATCTTCCAAACATATACATAATAAATAATACAAACATATAAATACTATATAAATACTTTACCTAGGTTTATCTGCGAGAGATATAGGCTTGCGTGGTCAGAGCCGCAAAACATATACCAATGTTTTGCGGTTGTGTTTCTTGCTTGCGCAATGTGTTGATCAACTTGTGTGATCAAGCACATCTCTTTTGCTCGTAATTCATTTTTCCCTCCCTCCCACCCTCTGTGGGTTCAAGCGTCTACTCTTGTCACACACACTGACCGTGAAAATGACCCCTAGGGGCCGTGAAAACCCATATGGCCGTGAAAACGGGGTATGGCCTCCGGACATGGGGGAAAGTGATCGAGAAGCTATTGGCTACCGTTTTTGTGATCGAATGGCTCTCCAGGAAAGAGCATCTTCAGGAGAACAAAATGCGCGCTTGGAAAGGAAAGGGGATCGGCAAGGAAGGTGAAGGAAAAGGAAAGGCTCGCGACGACAAGGGGAAAGGGAAGAAAGGCCAGCGCTGGAGCAACCGAACGTGGGGCCAGGCTCCCGCCGAGGCGGAGACAGGGCAGGCGAAGTGAAGGTGATGGATTCACTTGACGAGTCGTCCGATGTGGCAGAATTGGATGACGATGAACTGGACCCGGTCCTGACGGACCGAGAGGAGGATGTGGCTGATCTTTCCCCGGTCGCGGCCGAGGCTGATATGAGTGTCACCGCAGATCCGCGGATCCAGCCGACCACAACACTTGTGGAGTGGCAGGACCTGGTTGGTGAAACGTTTAAGCAGTGCCCCTCAATGGCTGACCTGGGTAAGTATCTCATGTCACAGGTGTGCAGGGCGCCGACGCCGCTGGGCCGGTTTTTCCGCCAATGGTGTCAACCCGCACAGCCCCCTCCGGGCGCCGAGCCCGCTCATCAGCGGCGCGGCGACATCCTGCCTATCCCACCGTGGCTGGTGACAGCGGCAGTCGATGGGGTCACTGCGTCTAATGTTTATTGGGTATGGTTTATCACGGTGATTCTGAATTTCAACTACTGCGCTGGCTGGAGCAAGCCGGTCTGTGTACCCATGGAGGACAAGCTGACGTCGAACCAGGCAGAAGCGCTGCGGCAGTTGGGCGAGCTGGTGGACACCAACATCCTGTCGGCGGAGCCACTTGGTTCCTTGGGACAGGCCCGCGAGTTGCTCGCGTCAAAGAAGTTTGACTACTCGGGGGCTCCAATTGAATATATGGAGGAGCTCAAGGCTGATCGGGTTGCCCCCGCCTGGCCGCGGCCAGGGGAGGCGGCGGTGCAACCCATCGCAAAATACCTGGGGGAGGCAACACGACAGGCGCTCATGGACCCAACAAGGTTGCTCCTCCCCCCGGATAAGATGCCTCATCGAGCGCCTCGCTCACGAGTACGAGCCACAGACGCCGAATGGTTTGCCATCTGCAGCTTGGCGCATGAGCGGGGAATCATGAAACCGGTTGACGATGACCTCATCCCGCGGGATCGCATGGGTCACTTGATCACTAATGGTGCCGGGGCAGTCCTCAAGGAAAAGCAAGTTGATGGTCGACTGGTTAAATGCCAGCGTTTCATAAGCATCCTGTGCCCCATCAACGCTGTGACGGTGCCATTGGAAGGTGAGCAAAGCACCCTTCCCTTCATCGGTTCCATGACGTCCATCCAATTGGATGAAGAGGAGGTGGCCTATCTGGAGAGCGAAGACCTACAATCGGCCTTCAACCTTTTCGCGGCCCCAGAGCAGTGGCTGCCCATGTTCGCCTACTCGAAAAAGGTGGATGGCGCTGCCTTTGGCCTGGAAGCGGGTAAACTGGTGAGACCTGCCCTGGCAACCATTCCAATGGGGTGGCACAGCGCGGTTGGCCTCGTACAAGAAGCTGTGCGCTGTTTGGTGTTTGAGCGCTGTGGTGTCCCAAGGTCTCTCTCCGTGGAGAAGAATCGACCGTTGCCGCCTGGTCCTGACAGGGCTATAGTGTACTTGGACAATTTTGATGAAATCCGCGTGGTTCAGAGGGTGAGCCAGGAATTGGCCGACGAGTCTGACAGCATGTCAGAGTACCACCGGAGGTTCATCGAGGTGTGTGACCAGGACGGGCTCCCACGCAGTGCCGGCAAGCAGTTGATTCATGCGTTTGTCGGTGGCCTGCAAGGCGGGCAGTTCGATGGCCAAAGGGGTACACTGAAGGTGGCCCCTGACAAGCTGCACAACTTCGTGCGGATTAGCATGGCCCTTCTGTCAAGCAAAAGCTGGGGTGAGTACCAACTCCGCCACTGGGCAGGCAAGGCCGCTTTCATCGCGGCCTTCAAGCGCCTCTTGTTCTCAAACCTATTTGAGATCTTCCCGTTGATTGAGGCGTCTCGCCGCGGCGACGTGTTGCCCTCTCGGGAAGTGATCGATGAGATCTTGTGTGTACTGGGGTTGAGTGTTTTGTCCCAGTCAAACCTGAGGGCGCGGCTGAGCCCCGAAATCAGTTGCACCGATGCGTCGCCCACCGGTGGTGCCACGGCAGTGGCTACACGCTTCAAGAGCCACTTCCTGCAGGTGCCTGACGCGCAGGTCGATGACAGACGCTGCGCTCACTGTGAGGAGGAGCTGGATGACCATGATGTCACTTATCCGTGCAGTCGCCGGTGCGGACTGCGGTCCTGTTCACCCATGTGCGCCTACACGCACGAGGAGGGCAACTGCATCCGGAAAGAACTTGACTCCCCAAGTTTTGGCGAACGGTTCGCTGGCCCCGATTTCTTGCTCACTCAAGCAGTGGCGGCCCAAGGGATTGAGATCCAGCGGAGTGGATCTCAAGATCCCATCGTACCCTTGGGACTTTTTTACCCCAGAAGGTAAGAAAAAGTTGGATCAGATGGAAGCCGACAGCTGTCTGGCGGCCACGCACTGGGCTCCGGAACGCAAGACCTTTAGCGCCGTGCGCGGCAGGCCGATACAGCTCCCCAGTGGCAGGTATGTGGCTGGTCCAAAAGTATTGAGATCCAAGGAAAAACCATGGGGCTTCTCAAACCTGGGCCGTGATGATATGATCAAGGTCCGACAAGGGAACGGCATGGCAAAGAGGAGCCTACAAGGCTTCAAAGAGGGGCTTGATGCAGGGCGAATTGTGACGCTCGAACACCCCTGGAGTTCGTTCATCTGGGATACGCCGGAAGCAAAAGAACTACTCCTGGACCCACGGGTTTTCGTGATTTGCTTCTCGGACTGCTGCTGGGGTGGATGGCGGCGCAAATGGACGTGCATCATTACCTCGGACCCGGGGTTGCACCAGGCGCTCCACCACCCGCACTGCCCGGGACACTACTGGCTGAAGCCCTCTGAGCTCCATGACACTCCTGGTGGGCTCATCTTTGAATCAGAGACTGAGCGAGATTACCCGTGGAGCTTTTGTGTCGCTTATGCCCAAGCTCTAAAGGAGTCGATGAACCGCCGCACTCCTCAGCCGGTTGGGATGCTGCCCAGAGACGAGCTGATGGCCATTTTCTCAGCAGTGAAACGAGCAACCAAGGGCCTGCAGAAGGAAGAAGTGGCCATGAAAGTTGCGAAACAGGTCAATGCTTGGGTAAACAGCATGACCCCCGGGCAAGAAGTGGACCATTTGGCAAAGCTGCTACGCCATGTCTCCACCCGCGGGTGTGATGTCAAAATCTTGCTGGACCCGGAAGATGGGAGCCTAGCCCTTATGGCTCCTTACCCGGCATTTGTGTGGTTTTGGCGTACATTGGTTGCCTACCGCTGGGGGCAGCCGCAACACATCAACCTCTTGGAGGTCTCAGCCTTTTTGGTCGAAATCCGTCGGCGGGCCCGGGATTCCACCGCCCTGCGGGGCAGATTCGTCAACATCACGGACTCCCAGGTCGCCTACCATTGTCTCACGAAGGGCAGGAGCCCCTCATCCCGTTTGAATCGTCTGATCCGCCGCGTGGCTGCCGTGTCTTTTGCGGCGGACCTCACCCCGTTCCACATTTGGACGATCAGCAAATGGAACTTTGCTGATCACGGCAGCAGGAAGTTTGAACCATGACCAAGCCTAAGAGGCATCTGAAGTATCTGGGGGTGAGAAAGCGGACGATTGAACTTTACAAACGGGAAGTTTCACTCTTTTTCGATTATCTGTCGTTTCACAACATCAGAATGCCAACCACCATGGAAATGCTGGATCGGGAAATTGGTGAATATATCAACCACCTCTACCAGGAGGGTGAAGCTGTCACCCGCGCGGGGTGGTTACTGAGCGGGTTCCGCCGCCTCTATCCTAGAACCCGGCGCGAACTTTGCCTGGCACAGCAATGGTACACTAACTGGACCAGGGAGCATGTCCCGCTGCGTGCGGTGCCGATGCCATGGAAGGTCCTGCTATCCTTGGTTGGGCTTTGTTGCCACGAGAACTGGCCGCACTTAGCAACGTGCCTTTTGCTTGGTTTCACCTTTTTTCTTCGGGCTCAAGAAGTCCTGTCTTTGCATGCCGACGATATTGAGGTGAGCTTGCCGGACCAATCGGTGGTAATTCGGTTGCACCGTACCAAAACTTCCAAGCAACACTTGCAAGCCCTCACCATCTCTGATCTCCCTCTTGCCAAGCTTCTTTCCCATCTTCTCTCCTCTCTTTCTTCTCCCCGGCTGTGGCCGTGGTCTTCTACTTATTTTCGTCGGTGTTTCACCTCTCTTTGCACCTTTTTCCATCTGGAATCAATTGTGGCTTCGTGCTTTACTCGCTTCGCCGCGGGGGTGCAACTCACTTCTACATTGCCCTCCAAGCCCTTGATTTTGTGATGGTGCAAGGCCGTTGGAAAGATCAACGCACTTGTCGACTGTATGTCGATGATGCCAGGGCCATGCTGGTTAACTTTAGTTTGCCTCCGGCCTCGCTTCCTCTCCTTCTTCGGTTCCGTTCTTTTCTGATTTGCGGGTCGCTTCGCAAATTGTAGTTCGCGGGGAGGTTGTTTTTTCTTTCCGCTCCAAGATTGGGAAGGTTGTGTGGTAGCACCCACCACATCCAAAGTGGTGGCCACCTGCGGGTGTGTTTGGTGGTGTTACTGTCCCCGTGCAATGTCATGGGCGCACCACAACCTTGAGCACCTTTGGGCTGTGCGGGAAAAAGCAGAACCCGTGCTGTCCTTGTGCATAATACTAGCAGTCAAGACTTTCGTAGATAGTCTGACGTAGGTTTATGCACACGCTGGGTTTGGGCTCAAAGTCCTTCCCAGCCGCTCCCACCCGGGAAGGTTGTGTGGTAGCACCCACCACATCCAAAGTGGTGGCCACCTGCGGGTGTGTTTGGTGGTGTTACTGTCCCCGTGCAATGTCATGGGCGCACCACAACCTTGAGCACCTTTGGGCTGTGCGGGAAAAAGCAGAACCCGTGCTGTCCTTGTGCATAAATATATATATATATATATTATACATCATTTCGCTTTTTCAGTAATTTTGAATATTACAATTATCCAACATCAAGGACCGTCAGGGGATATTGGTTGGCGTTCAACTCTTTAACCAGCATTCGACCTTGCTCCTTTTGCAGGTAGCCAAACCAAACCACTTCAACTGCGCAGTTTCTTTACTGACCCAGTTTCCTGCATACAGAGACCTCGCAGTTGCTTGAACTATCTTGAACTGAAAAACGTCACTTTCAAGGAAATGTGTTTTGCTTTGACCGATGGTTCGATCAAGGCTCAAACTGCAGTTTTTACAGACTTTCCATAAGCCCTTTTTTTTGTGCAAAGCAAATTCATGCGGTAAACCCAATGCCGTGAACCATCCCCAAAATAACAATGAATGGGAGGAACCGTGCCTGGTACCTTCGGTACCCCAGGTTGGATGTTGACAAACCACGGCCGAGCGTCACCCAAATGTGGCTGGGATGCCTGCGAAGGAGTGGCTTGTGCTAAGCCCTGCATAGCCCTGCGCATTTCGTTCGGAGAACTCCACCCAAACAGGGACATGTACTGTATATATATATATACATATATATATATATATATGTACATAATATATATATATACTGCATTCATATTTACACACTTAGTCAAGAATATTCCAGGATCCATTTGAACAGTTCTACAGCATGTTTGTTTTTGGGTGGGGGCATGTTTTTTTTTTGCAGGATTCCACCCCTTAAAGCATGGAAGAACGGAAGAACAGGTTGAAAAAAAAATGCACTAATTGGAAACCATATGAAAGCAGAAAGAAAGCCCTGGATTTAGAAACCCTTGATACACTGCAATCCCCAATAAAGATAGAAACGCACATTCCTACCTAAATAGTAATAAATCACAGTTTTCTATCCGTTTGCGGGTTACTTCTTATACAATCAGTAACATATAGACATAAACCATAAACTCAATGGTATAAACTTAACATAAGCCAATGTGTATATATATATATACGCATATACATTGTAAATACATATATGTATATAAGATATATATATATATAATATTTGTATATGATAACCATGATTGACCATTATTTACCATTGTTAACCATATTATTCATAAGATACATACATACATATATAATAACCCCTATGAACCATTCAAAATCATCATGTCAAGCGAGGCTCCGAGGGCTCTTGAGCTTTTTGCCTTTGAGGCCAGCGCCGGCGGATGGTTTTCTTGGCGCATATTAGCATTTTATTAGGGAGACCAACAGTGGGACAATTTGGAAATGATTCATGTACCCCCCGGTTTTTTAACATAGCCATGGAAAATGGCCCACTTATATATGGTTTACCTATTAAAAATGGTGATTTTCCATGGCCATGTTAAATAACCAGATGGTATATTCATGTGTTCATGTATATTCATGTGAGATATGAAGTGATATGATCATATATGATGATATGAAATGATGAAACTAGATCTCTGGCCACGAGATGCAGTTGAGTTTGATACCTTCGATTGAACAGATTATTGATAGTTCTTACTGCAATGCTGCCATTGATCCCGCAAAATACATGGACTCTTGCGGGATATACCATTTGGTTATTTAACATACCTATGTAAAATCCATTAATTATAAATGGAGGTTTCAATGTGAAAATCATCTGTAAATGGGCCATTTTCCATAGCTATGTTAAATAACTAGAGGGTATACTTATTGGTTGTGATATGATGCTTTCCACCTGCTGGTTTGTGATATCGTTCATCCTGTAGGTGGTACTCTTTGAGACTCACTGCGGTACGATACAGTTGTTTTTCTAGGTATATCACGTGTACCTTCATAGGGTTCCTTTAGAGAAGATGCAGGGAACAAGTTCGGAAGAAGTCAGATTGCCATGGATAGATATGGTTCATTGCTTCTTCCAGGTTATAAGTGTATACATATATATATTACATATATATATATATGTGTATATGTATAACTATATGTGCAGTAAAGGAGTGTTGTAATGTTAAATCCCAACTTGTGGGGGTTGATGACCATGGTTATCCCCATTTGTTTCACCTCAAATGCGACCACAGGTCCCTGCTAAGACGGGCACGAAAGCCGCTGGAAATTCAGTTGGGAAGCCGAGATTCGTTGCGCTCTTGGAGCTTGGAGATTCGTTGATCTAAAAAAAAAGTTGATCGAAAGTTGCAAATTGGATCCTATCTCAACTAGCTGGACACATATAGATATTGTATTATATCATATTATATCATTTATATTATACATTTGTCTATTTCTGACTTTCTCCATCGGTAGATTTTGTCATCAATGACGATCCCAGACTGACTAGTAATGTTCAGGCGGCCCAGAAATCACAAACCCGCGCGACATTCCTGAGGATTGTTTCCTAACGCAGATCCATCGACCAGAATGCAGCACAGCATTTCTTTTTACAGGCCTTGTCCGAAGACGAACTGCCAATGTCCTTTTGAGAAAAACATGGACATCACTTGCGGATTGTTGAAGTTGAGACACATCCCTTCGCAGTGGGCTTCGCAAAGGATGGTCGGGTCAGCGCCCTACATTCCAAACCATTCATCGGTTTCAAAGATCATCCAGTTCCATCCTTGAAAATGTAATGATGATGATGATGATGGTGATGATCATCATCATCATCATAATCATTATTGTTGTTGTTGCGCTCTATTTAGTGTGTGCGTGATTATTGTATTTGTTTTATTTTAAACATACTTTTCATGTTGAAATATTGATATCGGATGATCATGAATATCATCATCATCATGAATATCATCATGATCATGAATATCATCATTAATATTATTAGCATCAATGAGTATGATGAAGAGCCTCATTTTTCCCCTATCGTTTGAATATGTTTGAATGGTTTGTGACGGCTTTGTGACGGTTCAAACGTCACCTGAGGTATTCCACAGCGGATGACACCGTTCCGACCTTGGGCCGATGCTCCTGGAAGGGGATCAACCGGATAGAATCCGTAGTTTTTCTTAATGTCACCCTTTGGTAATTTATAGTTGATTAATGGCTATTTATAGTTGAAAATTGCTATTTATGGTAATGTAACCCATAGCTATTGAAAATGTACCATTTATATAATATAGTTTAATATAGTTGATTTACCCATAAAAAATGTGATTTTCCATAGCTATGTAAACGTTTACCAGAGGCTATCATGTGAATTCATGTGATTAAAATTATCCCTTCCTTTTTTTCCACTCTTCGCATGTTAACATTAGGATCATGAGGTTGTCAATTTTCTTATCTTAAAACCCTGTTGCTGATTTCTTTAGATATAGCTTCCTTAATTTCACAGGGAAAACAAGGATCTTAGGTGTCCGAAAATCTTTAGATTTCTTTGTGATTTGCTTGTTTTTTATCGCCTTCTCTTGGACATTTGCATGAACCTGGGACTGCGAGACAACAAATGTGGTAAACCCTCGAATGAACTATACCATACTGACCCCTATATCTACACCTACATTCGAGGGTTTAGAGGGTTTACCACATTCGTTGTGTAGATAGGGGTTAGTATGATAGGGTATCAAATGAACTATACCACCTATATTTAAATACCTCATTTCACCATTCAGGTTATCAGCGCCAGGAATGGGGGCATATTTCATGGCCATTAGCTGACCATCTCCTGGCGTTTCTCGATGCGCGTCGGTTTTTTAGGAGTCCTTTGCCAGCTGCGAGTACCGCGTCGGCCACTGAGTCACGGTCATGGTGAGTTTGACCCCATGGGTTAAAATGAGTCAACATGATTGACCCAAGAAACCATATTGAAAATGCTGATTTCACCAACAGAAATGGGGATTTCATGGGATTTATCGCTGATTTGTGATAGCTAACTTGACAATGTGGGGAAACCTGCAGCTGGGGATGCTTTATAGCACCCATAATTGTAATTTTGGGGATGGGTTTGCCACATTATATAAACATTGACCCTGCCAAAACCAAAATGTGGTAAACCATGCTAAACCCTTCTATCAGGGACTAAGTGCATGGTAACTATAAAACCAGGGATTAATCGTTACCATTGTTACCATGTTTAACCAAGTGCACAAAGGATAATGTGGCAAATACCATGGTAAAGCCAGAAATAAATTCCAATATCGCCAGTTAAATGTTTTATGTTAATTAAAATTTCACTGGTGATATTGTTTTATGTTATCACCAATAATTCCAATATTACCATTCCAATACCAGTTAATTCCAATTTCACCCATGAAAAATTGGGCGGTTTATCAAAAAATGGTTTCCCACAGCTCGAGGACAAAAAAAGGTGTAATTTTCAGTCCCAAATCTCTTGGTTCCCAAATCTCTTGGTTCCCAAATCTCTCTTTGTGTAATGGTGTAACTAACCAAAAGGATTTGGAAAGCCTTTGGTTGGATTATGCCCAAAATACGGAGATATATATAGTATATATATATATTTTTTACTTTACTATTAACACAATGTTTATCCTCTGGTTATGTCAAAATAGCTATTGAACATGGCCATGGAAATAGTGGATTTACCCATTGGTGATGGTGATTTTCCATAGCAAACTGTTAGTTTACCAGAGGGTATCCCCATATAAATAAACTCATGGTTGGTTCATCCACCAAGATGAATCCATAGGATCCGACCAGAAAGACCGAAGCCGCACATTTGGCCCAGCAACACCTGACGCAGACACGTGACATGTTCTGAGTGTTTTGAGTCGTTGTAGTGGATCGGTTGAAATAACCACTTAAGGCTAGTTCAACTGTTCAAGTGTAAAGAATCATGTATGCTGAGTGGTTTCGTCCTTCTAGCAGCTTCATAATGATGGTTGGCCTGAAAAAAATATAAATCACAACACGTTGCAGTAAAGTTGAAGTTCCTGCTTTGCTTACCCTAAGACCTAGGATCTAAGGCTCTGCTTTTGCACAAACCGCAGTCAAAAATTGTTTCAATCGACTTTTCGTGCCACCTCCATGCGTCATCCGCAGAGCCATGAAGCACCTCGCTTGCAGAGCTTTGCGTTGAATACGCTTTACATATGTTGGGTACCTCCCAAGCTATGTATTTTGTATTTTCTGTGGTCAGCGCACCTTTTCTAGCTATACAAAGCGGGCGGCTGCAAGTAACAATCTGGTTTGCAACCCCGTCGGCCTCTGGATAATGCCCCTGTGAACCCGAGTTCACCTAGGTTACCCTCTGGTAAACTAACATAACTATGGAACATCACCATTTTTAATGGGAAAACTCACTAATTATAAATGGCCATTTTCAATAGCTATGTAACAAATTACCAGAGGGTAAGTATTGCCCATCTCCGGACTTTCAGGACCGGCAAGCGAAAAGTTGCTGCAACAGCCGAGCAGCCGGAGAAAAAAAATGTGTCGACGGCGTTCCTTGGAACTGGCTGGGGGGTTCGAACATGTTTATGGATGAATAGCTGGGGCTTATGGTAGATATATATATATATAGTTAATGGATGAACAACTGGGATGTATAGTCCAACTTTGGATTGTTGTGTGTCATCGTCCCATAGTCCACTATGATAATCCACAATGATGATAATCTATGACAGTCTATTTGTATAATCTGATATCTATGATTATGATCTATGAAACTATCTATGTGGAGGCTTTCAAAGCCATGGGGGCACCCCAAATCATCCAAGTCATGGATGACCATGACTTTGTGTTGCAACAACCATGGTGACTTTGGGATCCCTCTTTTTAAGAACCCCCTAGATTTATTGTGTTGCAACTACACTTGGGGTGACTGGTTGGGATGACGGGCATCTATTTTTGGGATGGCTTCGAGCCACAAACAAATTTAGTAAAACTGAAGCTTTTGCTATACCAGAGTCGGGGTTGATTTATAACGGCTAACTAGGGTTTATGGGTGATCAAATTGTGTGTAGTGCTAACCCCGGACAAATAAAACAGTGTTTGGAGAGAGAGAATAAGGGGGTACTCTCCAAATATGCATAATTTGATACTTTAATGGTACCCCCATCCCTAATTAAACAACCTAGAATTTATTAATCCAGGGCTGACATTAATGAGTCTGAGTTTATAAACTAACTATAACTAACTTATTTTGTGCTGTGTGCCTGAGTTTGGAAACGATTCGCGTAGACTCCGGACCCGGTCTGAGTGTATTTGTGGAGAAAATCTGTGTGTTCCCGATATTGATGGTGATATTTATCACCCTAAACAGATTTTGTTTAGGGGTACAGAGCAGCTCAAATTGTTTTGATTTCTGTTACACTTGATTCATTTAAAGTTTCCCAGATGTCCCAGAGGTGTTTGTTTTTCCCTCAAACCCTTTTTTTTTCGCCCAGTTTGGACACATCCAAGCAGAAGCCAACGTCACATTTTTCCGCAAAACAAAGCACACCTAGGAAGGCCAAAGGCAAAAAGATGTTGAGGCTGGGGTTTTGCTGGTACACTCTGGTGTCATCAAACGTGGCAAGCTGGGAAATCTATGAAGTAAATGGAGGTTTAGATCGCTGGGGAAATCATCGAAGCCAATGGTTGATTTAGATAATCTTTAATTTCTAGCTATGGTACATCATCCATAACATATATGGTAACTCTATGGTAGAGATGGCCCATTTATGGATGATTGCCTATAAAAACAATGATTTTCCACAGCTATGTTGAGGCCATGAATGGATGTTGTTCTTACAGAAAAGCTGTTGGATTGACAACGCGCCATGCCAATGTTAATCTATAGCTATATCTAGATTGTGTGATATGGTATTATATAAAGTTAAAAAAAATGGACAAGTAATTCATCACCAATTTAGATTCGCATTTCACTGTTCTATCCTTTTTGGGGCGAGCCATGTTTGCCAAGACAATCTCAGCTCCAGGAAGAAGAAGCCCGTGGAGGTCCAAGACGAAGAGGATAGCCCTGCGGAGTATGTGCCTACCGAGCTCTTTGGACGGTTCTTCTGGTGGTCCAAGGCATGGAGATGCTTAAAAAACAAGATGTTCATGACCTAAAATAGGGGATTTAATGGAGGTAGCTCATGGAAAAATGGCATTCGTAGACATTGTCCTGATAGAGAGTTTTTCAGGTTTGATCAGGGAGAGAATTGAAGGTCTACAGCATTCTACAGCCAAAATGAGAATCCTAAGCAAATTAACCAACAAACACGGGACATTCTGTTAGAATCGCATGATTTGTTTACAGTTGCAAACCCAAGGAAAAACATGGCGAAGATCGAACAGATGCTGAAGGATGCTCAAGAGGAAGAGAAGCAGGAGGCAAAGAATTCTCAGCTGTGGCAAGGTCTTGCAAGGTCTTCGGATTGCAGGAAGTCGTGAAAAGCTGGTGCTAATTTATATCTATACCCATAGGATCCATGGTGCTGCTATATATGGTAACATGGATCCCATCAATATACCCCCAAGGTTAGCATATATACCAGCACCATGGATCCTATGGCTTATGGGATATATAGATATTCTTTGAAAAAACTATTTGAAAGACAACGGTGATTCCATAGTTTGCCTCCGCTTTTTGGGGTGGCTGCTATACTTTTCTTCCGCCGGCCCAGTAGCCCATGTAAACCCCACGGATGCCCGGTGAGGGAAAGAAAAGGAAGACGCTGAAAGACATCATCGCCACTCGGCACCGGGACTGGTGTCACGATCGTGGGACTGCCACTGATGGGGCCAACCCCCCTTGGAAACCATGGTTTAGTAGGACATTTCCACATAATTGGGACCATTTATGGGGTGTTTAATATTAGGGTGATGGGATTATGAACCAAGCAAATTGGCATAGAACTATACCATATTAATCCATATTTATGAATATGATTCATAGTATTTGGATGGAAACACAATGAGTGCCCATGATTATGAGTGTTCAAAGGTTTCAGACTCGATCATGATTAAGTTAAATTAAGTTATGACTAGTTGGTGGCGTCATGTTCTACATCCCGTGTGAGGATTGGTTTTGTGGAATTTTCTAGGATACATAGTAAACCCCAATAGGATAGAATAGATTATCATCATTTTAGTAGCATGATGTAGGATTTTACTTTTCCATGCATGTATCTTTTTTTTTGGGGCGCTATAAACCTCTAGATCCAGTGAATCTTTCAGGAATGGCCATGCCTTCGCTCCAGAGCAGTTTGGCTTTAGGGAAGCCAAGATCTTAGAGAATGGGTCCAACACAGAGAACTCACCTAGAAAAAAAGCCATGTTTTTACACCATAAGGCCTTTGGGCATTTTGTCAAATTGGTTCCTGCAAGATTTCTTGGGGACGGTTTATTGATCATTCGCCTTCAGACAGTCGCGTCAAGGCGAAGAAGCTGCTTGGATCTGTGGGGAGCTGTTGGGAGCTATGGCTATCCATTTTCCCAACCACATGGTGGAGAACACCTTTGTAGTAGGAGAAAGTTCAGACTTCAGATTCAGATTTACATGTAAATATATATATATATGTATACAATTTTTTATCGGTATAATATAAATTGCTCATGGTTGCGGATATGTTGGGGTTTGGGACCTTGTAAGTTTTGATCTTCTGTGCCGGGGGTTAAAAGAACCCCTGGGAAATGGATAGGGAAGGCAATCACGGAAGGTTGGGATGGCTTCAGTATATATAATAGACTCTTTAACCCCTAAAAATCAACCAATATTGGGGACTATGAACCATTTATTTATAATAAAAATAACCATTAGATATTAGGGATATTAGATATTAACCATATAATTCTTGATTAACCATAATATTGGGGAATATTCACCATATACAATAAATATCTAATCCATGTTTCGGGGATATGTCCAATTGGGATCTACGAACATGTTCCGTTACAGTGTGGTAAGCGGAGAATGGTTGATTGATGATAGTTGATGATAAATAACACAGATGATGGAAACAAGGATGACACTATGAATGCACACAACAAGTACAACTTACAACCATAAGAACAACTGATGATGATGATGATGATGTTTTTTTAATGATTATGATCATAATAATCATGAAGACGATGTCCAGTGCATAGAGATCATAGAGTTGCACCAGGGAGCCGAAAGCGCCCAGTCTTTTCCCCACGGGCCCAAGGAAAGAGGAACGGAAGGAGAAAAGAAAGGACTGGCAGCAACTGGTTCTGGTCGATTCTTTTACCCCAACACTTGGATGGTTTATAAAGGTTTATAATATGCATACAGAAATGTGAATATACATATATGAGCGTTTCCATAAATGGGGGATCCCTAAAATGAATGGTTTATTTCATGGAAAATCCTATGAAATTGGATCCCGTGTCAGGAAACCTCCATATACCCTTTGGTTATTTAACATAGGCATGGAAAATTGCCCGTTTATAGGTGGTTTACCTATAAAAAACGGGGATTTTCCATGGCTATGTTAAATAACCAGATGGTATATATATATATAAACATATATAGCATGTAAAAGATGTAACCATTTTGTTTGGCTGAGTGCTTTCCCATATTGTGACCCATAAAAAATGGCTTTTCACGCACAAGGGGCACAGATTTCGAGATGGAAAAAGCCTGAAATGAAGACTGACAAAACCCTGGTTCGGAACAAGGGGAACATTAAAAGGATTATGTTTTGCCAAACCTTGAGGGATCTTTTTATGACCATTTTAGAAGTTCTCAGAATTTCTCAAGGGGACACATATCCAGCCTTGAGCATCCTTCCCTCGATTCGACCAGGAGAGGCAGCAGAAAGATCTGGGGCGCCCGATGACTTCCAAAGAAAAGTTGAAGTTGAAACTCAAGAGACTTGGCCAAGACCAAGGACATACAAGGGAAGCCATAAAGAAAACAGATAGGGGGATGAGTTTTTCATGTGGCTCTACATGTCCAGCCGGTAGCTGAAAAAATGTGGTATCTAAGATTTGTTTTTTTTTTAATATCCTAGATGTATAGAACATGCAACATACTGTCAGAGTGAGGAGATTCATTCACACAGTACTTAGGACTTAGGACCAGGACATTCAGTTGGTAACCCCAATGGGTCTCCGCCAAAAGCACCGCTCTTCCCCTGAGGAACATCAAGGAGCATTCCTTGACGAAGTGCCTGGGACAAGCACTGCGACACGAAGTGATGGTCACCACGGGGGATCCCGAAATTGCCTGTCCTGTGCTCGTTTTTATTTTTTTGCATCTTGTGGTGGTGATGGTGGCGACATGGCCAGAAACGCCCCGTATTCCATTCGGAAGAAACTGCCACAAGTCTTGGATGAACTGCAATCGTGGGGTTTCTGAATGCAACGCTAATCCTGCTGCAAGATGCCGCAAGATGCTAATATGATATAATTTGGTTGGTGGGTTCAATGTATATGTATATATATAACCATTACAATTAATGCATATTACACACACATATATATATATATATATATTACTGTATATCATCCCAAATGGTTTCAAAGATGTTCATCCATTGTTTTTCCTTTTGAACATCCTTGAAACCATTTGGGATGATCCCAAGTGAGTTGTATAATTATCAGAGTTGAAAACCACGCCACGCTGACGAGGAAGAAAAACGTTGCAAAGTGCCTTGGCTCGCCTTGGCTCGCTGAAGTCACTTGAACCAGTCATGTCTCAGTTGACCAAATTCAGAGATCAAACGTAGAGAGACACATCGACAAGGTTTCAAACGCTAATGTAGCTACCCTCTGGTAAACTATCTAACATAACTATGGGAAATCACAATTGTTCATGGGAAAATTCACTATGAATGGTGATTTTCTATAGCTATGTTAAATTACCAGAGGGTAAATGTCTAGAAGTCATATTTGAATTTATGAAATCCTGGCCAGTTGAGCTGCGTGTTTGTGTGAAAGTATATAGATGTAGAAGTCATATGATCAGGTTCGAAAATTGTAGAATTCCGCAAGGGCCCAAATCATTAACGGACCCTTCCAGGGTGGAAGACCAGCGTAAACTATGATGACAATCACTGCAACCTAATGTCTTTGAAACTAGGAATAATGATAATTTAATCGGTTCCATGTTGTGCCAAGTGTCAGGGCCTCAAACGTCTACGCCATATATAATTAATGGTTACTTCGGGCATTTTATGACATGATGATCCCAGGTTTCACATTCTCCGGATTGGTGGTTCACCGGCGTATCAACCAGTTGCCCTGGTTTCAACATGGGACTCCTAAGGGGTTACCCTCTGGTTATTTAACATAGCCATGGAAAATTACCCCATTTATAGATGGTTTACCTATTAAAAATTGTGATTTTCCATGGCTATGTTAAATAACCAGATGGTATATAATTTGATTGTCACTAAATGTTCTTGGGGACTCTCAGCTAGCTCCATGGGTTATTAAGTGTGATGAATCATCCACCTTTCGGGTGCTTTCCGTGGGCGACCTGCCACATTTTTCCCAGGAAGGAGAAAGCCGCGCCCATGGTGAAGTCCACGCCATGCATGTGGCTCTGGGAAATCCCTGGCGCCATCCCTCCTAAATGGATAGAAATTTGGATGGTCTCATGGGAAAATCATCGAAAATGGGGGTTCTGTTCAATACCCATAGGATCCATGGTGCTGCTATATATGGTAACATGGATCCCATCAATATACCCCAGTCATGTTAGCATATATACCAGACATGGATCCTATGGGTAAGAAGCTATAAAAGTTGACGCCAAATTGTCGGGTGACATGGGGTGACAAGTCGCCTCGTACATGATGATGTCCATATTAGGCCAGGAAAGAATCAATCAATACCTGGCCTAAGAGTTCACGTTCGGTTGATTCATGATGGAGGGTTGGCTCACAGGAAGTTGGGCGGAGCTGACACTTGGCCGTTTTCAAGTCGCAAGGCAATCTTTCAAATCCATTCTTGAAGTCTTGACGGGTTCCAGCCGTCCAGCATGTATGTTTTAAGTTTTAAGATTGAATGGTTGGAAACGATACTGATTTGTGTTTAGTGCTATATAAAGGGCGCAATAAATTGATTTCAAGGATAGAACATGATATCACAAGTTTAAATTCATCCGATCTGCCTTTTCCCTTTGTCATGTCGCAAGGCTCCCTTGATGATTCCATTCACCTCGCTCACGGCTTATTACGGCCCGCGAAAATCCCAAGCTTCAGATATGGTAAAGCCAATGCCATAAACCATCCCCAATATTACCATAGGTGGTAAACATCACCCCCAAATGGTAGGTGTTTATTAATTATCGGGTTTACCACATTATGCATGTTAAATTACTATGGGAAACCGGTTTGGAGGAGGGTTTCCGGCCCCAAGCAGCAATGATCGCACTGTGCTGAGGTACTTGAAAGCTGGAAAGGTGTGTCCACATGCCCAGTGCAGATACTCTCACGACCTTTAGCTTTGGCTTTGGTGCCATAAAAAGCGTGGAAAAAAGAGCCTGCTGGGAACTGTGTGTTTTTTTTTCTGGTTTAGAATTAGACATAGAATGATATACTGTAGAAACATTGGGGTATAACTTTGTTTGAAACAATCGCCACATATCGCCACGATGAATCTCCAAGCCAGCAGAAATGGGTGAAGGGAGAGGATTGAAGCGATGACAGCCACTTTGGGATGTGAGTCCACCTGGCAGTTGATGGTCACTTGATGCCGCTCGACAACGAAAACCTCGCCTCGAAAATCGCCGAAACCAGAACTTCCAGAAAAAATATTTGGCCGTATGATACCAAATATGGACAGGATGATAGGATCATAATGGATTACACCCAGATTAACCAAAACATTTGTGTAGTATTTCCCATCAAGTCCTTCGCAGAAGTCAGGTCTTGGCATTCTACCTAGTGAAGCCGGTGGGGAAGCAGAGTCGGATGAAATCCTGGTTGAGGAATTGGGTTTCGTGATTTGCGGGGGCCGATATGTTTGTTTTTGGATGTTACCATCTGGTTATTTAACATAGCCATGGGAAATGGCCCATTTATAGATGGTTTACCTATTAAAAATGGTGATTATCCATGGCTATGTTAAATAACCAGAGGGTAATTGTTTTTTTCTTGTGGGGGGGAGGGGTTATTAGATGTTATTAGGATATATGTGTTTATTTTGTTTATGAATTTTATGTTTCTTCATTTGGTGGATGATTGGTATGACAATTTATGGCATGAGGTGGAAGTGGTTCTTCCGAGCACTAAGGGCGCTTTACTTGCATGGTCATGCCATTTGCAGACGTGGTGAGCCTGGCGAAATAAAGTAAGTAGCAGATTTCTAGCTGTATCTGATGTAGATCTGAGAATGGAGCCCCCAGGTGCATTTTTTGCAGGGAAACTTCGGGGGTACCTTTATTTTCAGACTATCTCTTATATATATATATATATATCATATATATCATATATATCATATATATCATATATATCATATATATCATATATATCATATATATCATATATATCATATATATCATATATATATATATATCATATATATATCATATATAAATATATATATCATATTTAAAGACACATGTAGACCTTGCTACTTCATTGTGGCTTCGGCCGGGGGATCCATGGCCTTCCATTGCCGCCCGAAGGTGAAAGATCCGCAGCAGGAAGTCCTGCAACACAAAGCTTGGTGCAGGTCATGGGGATGGGCACGCACCGTGACGGTTTAGGAGAGAATAGTCCCCACATGGGAACCGTGAAAGATTACAGTTTTGTGATGTTTTCGATGATGAGATATACGCTATACGTATTATATATATACTATATAGATTGATCTAGTTTGTATTCATATATATATAATATATATATTTAAAAAAAAAAAAACGTGTGTGTGATTCTGATTCTGATTAGCATTAACTGCTGATTATTGTTCTGATTCTGATTAGGATTCAGATTCTGATTAGGATTCAGATTTATGACAATCAGAATCATTCAAAATCATTCAGAATCAGAATCTGAATCTGTTCTGATTAACTGATTGATACTGACTGATGATGATTTATAACACTATCTCTACCAGGTCAAATGGCCTTGTCGGACGAGTTTGGGCGAATCTGGCTGAGATTCGATGGGGACGTTGGCCAGGGATTTTTTCAAAAGGGGGCGAAGAACGATCATGGGGAATTAAATGGTATTTAATTTGGATTTATGGGATTTTTATGTGATTTTAGTGGGATTTAATGGGATTGAATGGACATTTTATGAAAATTTACTGGAACTTGATGGGATTTGACTGGATATTTGAGTGGGTTTAATGGAATTTGAATAAGATTCCATGGGATTTTATATACTGGGATTTGCCCTTTGGATCCCTTTGGTGATTTAACATATAGCTATGGAAAGTGTTGCCCTTTTAAATTACGGTAAATAGTAAATACAACAACTTAGTAATCTACAAATTGGGCATTGTCATCATTGTCCATAGCTATGTGAAATTACATAAGGGAGCTTGGCAGGCTGGGGAGACCATGAAAGGATGGATGGACGCACTGGCAGGGTGTCCTGCGCCATGATTGGGAATTTTAGTATTGGATGTACCCGGCCTGGTAAACTAACAGTTTGCTATTGAAAATGGCCATAGAAATAGTGGATTTTCCCATGAAAAATGGTGATTTTCCCCATGAGTTATGAAAAAACGTTTACTAGAGGCCATTTGTTGGCTCTCTCCAAGTTCAGGTTGAGCTATGGCTATGAAAAACATGGGGACGAAAGCTGGTTGGTGGTTTGGAACATGTGGATTATTTTCCATCATATATAATAGGAATGTCATCCCAACCCCATTGACGAACAGTAATATTTTTCAAGATGGTTATTTAAAACCAGCAACCAGAAAGGCGATTGGAACAGTGAGGTCAATCTCATGATGTCGATGTGACATCGTGAAGAATGTTCTGAACATTGTTTGAAACGAAAAAGTCACAAAATGTTGCACGTAGGCTTCTGAACCCAATGATTTCGTCCGATATACCCCCTTAAATCCATCCAAATCCTAGCTGCTCAAGTTGACCAACTTAGCTACTTAAAATCCTATGAATATATCATGAGATCATATTAAATCAGTTAAGTCTCCATGAAAAACTGAGGTGTTTCCCTTAAAACGTCCTTTAAAAACGTCCCTTTTTTGTTTCTTTTCGATGGTCATGTTTCCGAGGTCTCCAGGGATGGCTTGAACGTGCAGCTCAGCGGGTTGACTTTGGCCTGTGAAAGGTGCCGAAGGGTGCCATGGTGGATCCGCCAGGATCCAACGCTTGGTGCTTTGGAACACGAATTGTTTTTTCCAGAAAGCCCTCTGGTTATGACTAACATAGCCATGGGATTTCGATGGCCCATAGAAATAGATGGTTTACCTATTAAAGTATTGTGATTTTATATGGCTATGTTAAATAACCAGATGGTATGTTTGGAATAATCATCCCAGCTGACGAACTCCATCATTTTTCAGAGGGGTTATATAAAACCACCAACCAGCATCCCCAAATTGACCATTTTGATGGCTGGGATTGAAACCATCCATGTGGTTGGCTGGTACAAATGAAATTTGTAAAAGCCAAGATTTATGGGAATATGATGGTTAAATATGGTGGTTAAATAGTTCATGGGATCAGCTATGATGAACTTCAACTTTACTAAGTTTCGAATGTGTTCAACATCCTGGTTGGTTGATGAGTAGTTCGGGGGTTATACTACCCTTTAATAATATGGGTGATTATCATATCAATGGGAATTTCAGGATCCTAAATTGGAGGTACCTACCATATATAAGGCCCATGTAAGGCCTATGTAAGGGAATATCCCCTCAAAATATGGCCTTATATGGTACAGTACCTCCATTTTAGGATCCTGAAATTCCCATTGATCATACATGAGCTTGGAAATCCTGTCAACCAGTGACCAGCCAGCGTCAAGGGACAGAGCGTTTTGAACACTGCTCGACTAGTCTATTTTTTGCGGAAACTAATCTTCCAACTAGTCTTTATATAAGTCTTAAAGAGACATATTTTCCTGTTCGTGGACAGTCTTAATTTTGCCAAGATCTAAGTTAAGATAGACCCTGAGGCCAGTAAGTGTCCCGAAGTTGATCCATATAGTGCGGCTATAATTTGGACATAGTTTGAATATGCCATCCCTTTAAGTGACAAGCCCCTATTTGGCGGGGTCAATTGCAGAATGGTAGATAGAACCAAGGGGAACCACGGGAAAAATGGTAAACAGAGAAAAACAAAGATAGAACATGGCAGCAAGTTAATTAAGCCAACTAGGAAATTAGGATATTCATGTTTCCACGTTGATTTGAGAATATGAATAAATATATAACTACCGGTACATAATTAATTATATAAATATGTATATATATATATATATGCCATATATATATATGTCATGTGTGTGTGTTGAAGTTGCAACGGCAGTTTTAATCTGTCGTTGGGCCCGTCAACTATCCCTGGTGTTTGAACCATACTCAGGTTTGCTCATCACTTCGGCTATTCACTGGATTGTTTGAAGGGAACATCTTAACCCGAAACCATGGTTTTCCTGATAAAAAAATGTGGTTTCCAATTTTCAATATTTCTGGTTTCCAATCATTGAATTCTTGGAAACCCAATCCAAACGGGTTAAATTGGTGGTGAACAACTGCAGCAGTTTCCCAATGATTTCTGCACTTTTTCCCTGACACCAATCTATAGTCACCATGAATCCATCAACAAATCCTCACCTCCAGCAGAGGTATGCTGACTTCGTTGCTGGGGCGCCTGGTTTTTCTGTGGTCACCTGGGGACCGTATGGTTTTTCTACACAAAAAGTTTGGGAACAGGTGGGATGCGGGGATGTTTTTTTTTAGTTTATGTGCAATAATACCATGGAAATACCATGGAAATATATTGTGGACATCTCTAAATTCAAAATATCCTCTTTTTTTGGTTGATCAACATCAGTTTGACGTGAGGCTCGGCGCTTTGCCTCATTCCGGCGCAGGGTCACCCGGGGGCATCTGGATACCAATTGATGTTATGTGGGTCACATTTCCGGATATACTGTATTTGGATTCTGTATATGATTTTTGTTGATCTTTGCTGATTATATTTAATATTAAAGACCAGGAATGCCTAAGGTACATGGCCCTTTGCGTGACGTTTTCTCCTCTCCTGAAGCATGTTCGCTAACGGGGAGTGCTTGGAACTATTTGTGACTGGCTTGTCAATGGGCGATCACATCGTACAAGTATACATATATTACAACCTGCGACAAGCCGCATGCTTCTGGCTGATTTTTGTTGATTGGTTCATTTTTGATGGACATGTTTTGTTTGACTACTTGTCACATTATACATTTTTGTTACAAGCTGATGAATCTGATGAGTTGTTACCCCCACCAAACAAGACCAAACTGTTTCTGAAATCCACCA